ATTACCAACAACTGAGTATTCGTCACAGCGGGATTTTGTGACCTTTGGGAGTAAAAATTTGTTTGTACCGATTAAGTGACAATGAAGATGCTTGTTTAACTCTAGCGATGACGAAATAAAAGTTTGATTTTAAACTCATGAGCGCACAGCGCAAACCAAAAATTCACCAATCAGCAACTGCACAATCCGACAGATTGACCGGTCTTTTATTTAGCAGGGTGAATATGAGCTTATATAGAAATATATTACTGACTGACAGCTGATATGGACAAAAATAACAAGAGGTGTATCTAAGCTGTGAATGGTTGTGAACAGTCTTTTCGTCTTCGTTTAGCGACCCAATGTTTTTACGTCTCTCAGCAGCACTGTTGTAATCCCTAAGGGACGGGAAGCAGAAAGACTCAAAACTCGGTTACAGTGAAGCAAGCTCAACCAGGCAAGGGAGAATCTTGGCGCGGCTACTACCTTTGCTTTTATTAGTAAAATATTACTTGTATTTATTAAGGGCACACTTGCCTGGCTCGACTTCCACACTTTCAACGGTGCCTTTCCAGGTCACTTTTTTGTATCCCTTGATGTTGTTTTTGATGATGTTTTACTTTTTTAGTTGTACTTAAACTTCCGGCTAAAAAGCTTCACAGTGTCGGTAGAAATCGCTCCTAATGTGATACATTGTCACCATATGAATCAGCATGAAAAGAACGAAATTCTTCTGTGACTCGGGTGCAAATTTGTAACACGACTGCAAATTACAAATTGGCATGGTTATTTCTGCCAAACGTGAGGTTTTGTCCAACGTGCTTGTGCAATTTTGTCTGTCTGAAAATTCACTCGTGCATATTTAAAGCAAATTGCACTCGAAATCATGCCACATTGCACAACAACTGTTGTAAACACATCGTTATCAATTACATAGTGTTCAATATACATAACTAACGAACCCACAAACACTAAAATAATGAAAATGTATAGACACAATATATACAAAACGCCGAGTATCTAGCAGGACGAAGAAAGCCCAGGTCACCTGGAGTGAGTATCCCGAACTTTACCCTGGCCCTGTACCCGGTGCCTTCGATTTAACGGCGCTGATCGAAACTGGGAATTATGAGGTGGCAAAGCTGCAAACGAGTCATACATTCTATGGATAATCAAGACTTCAGAGAATGTACTCCTCCACGTCCACTTCTTTGGACAACAGCTGTTAATCCAGGTAATTTCTTTAACCGCAATTCAATTATAGGATCATTTCTTTACTTCCTCACAGCGCCCTTAGCAAACAGAAAAGCCACAGACGTATTAGAGGCGGTTCCATAACGCACGTCGCCGGAGCATTTGTATCCATATCGCAAACATTTTGCAGTGAAGATTCGTACGCAGTCTTAACCAAACAAGACATAACTTACCACATTTTTTCTCCCTAAGCATAGCGAGAATTTTAAGTCAAACCATTGATAGCTGTCCATATTGATTTGATGAATAAACTTCGGAATTTGAAACAGGATTGACCCTTTAAAGCTGTCAAAGGTTTCGGGAACATATATTTATATATATTGATATAAAACTTTGCTATCGCTATTGTGCATTCTCACTAGTTTATCTAGTTTTTCTTGGATGATGAGGGCAGGTTAATTTATGATGATTTTCGAAGGCTGCCTGACCGCCATTTTAAATCTGCTAATTCGAAAGGCTGACAAGTGATAACAGTCTAAATTGAAGATGGTTTAGAAGTTAACAATTATAAGAACTTTTCACTAACATATGCTGCTGAAAATATATGCAATTCTGCATTTTTTGCTTTCTATCAAGCAGGCCCTTTATCATTCATGTTTTGTCTCAGTCACTCATCTCAAAATCTATTACAGAAGGCTGGAAACAAAGATTTTGTTTTCAAGAAAATAAATTTCTTGGCTGGTAAAAATGCGATCAGAGAACAAGGTAGTTCTACTCATGTATAAACAGAACAAATGCGATTTAATAAATCAGATATCTCAAAAAACAAGCAAAACACACCTATATAGGTTCCAGTCTGGTCTCAAATGAAAAGGTGGAAGCACATTTGTGCAAAATTAAGCATTAATTTATAACATTTGATTATTGTATACTGATATACAGAAATTTATCAAGTCCATTACTTTGTTAAATTTTGAGTAAACTTGTCTTGAGAGAGGAAAATTGAGGAGCTGTAATATACTTATCATCAATTAGGGACCACAAAGAAAAATTTATTTATAGAGACTTTTGAAGGAGAGGGGTAAGACTTGTGGCAAGCTGGCAGACATATAGATAAACTTTACTGCTAAATGGGTTACAATACAAAGTGCTCAGTATTTGGATCAGCTATGGCTCAACTTAAACTTTGCTTTAGCTTCAAGTTTAATCCTTTGTGGTTTCCTTTCTCTGTGTTTATTTTTCAAGTTATGTACACAGAAGAACACAAAAATGACAAGGAATGCTTTTGAATATTAAGAGGCTGGAATAAGCAAGAAACCAAAACTGAATTTTAAACAGTACAAAGTTAATTTGATCTTCCAATGTTATTCAATTTTAACCATTAATAGAATTTGCTATTTAAATTTATCCCCTCCATTTTCTGGATATTGTGAGCAAAAACAAACAATTATCACAAAATGCATGGTATACAATGGTTTGATTCACCAATGTGGCAAAGGCCTTTCACTGTCTATCCATAGAAGGGAAATAGTTTGTAAAATGAAAGACATTCTGCATCTTGAGCATATACTTATTCATCCATGTGAAATTAAAGGTTACTTGAAAACTAATGTGCTGATTTGTTGTACTTAAAGGTTATGATTTTAGCGGAAAAAGTGGAAGAAATTTCTGGACCTGGAATTTTGTTGCAAATGTCTGTTTAAATCAGTTTAAGTCAGTTAAAAACTCTCCCGTTTCAAGATTACATGATTACCACACCAGAACCTTTTTGTATTCTATGATTACTTTGCAAAATATCTGACGACAAAAAAAATTGTGGTTATGAAAATAGCAGGTCACATCAGGCGAAGTAGCAGAAATTGCTATGGTGGTTTCGGTGGATGGAGAGAAACATCCACCAAAACCACTTTATTCTATGTGTTAAGAGTTATGATAATCATTATGAACGTTTGGTCGGCCAGCAATTGTGCACCATAAAAATAATTAGCCAGAGCACTAACTGCTAATTAGTGGTATAAATCTTTTGTCTCCCTGAACATCTAATAGTGGCTATAGATAAAATTAAAAAATATATTGTTGATGGTTTTAGTCAAAGTTTTGGTGGATGTTCCCCAATGACATCCACCAAAACTACGTAACATCTGGGCACCTTTTAAATACGTGAAATATCTGCATAAAATTGCGTAAAATGTTTTATAATACTACAATCGAACAATAAATTAATACTTACCATTTCTTGAGTAAAAGTTTTGACGCAATTTCCCAAATAAATAAAGTTGACGACAAAAAATGAAAATATATAGGCGGAAAAACACCAGAACATATCGTTAATTTTAGTTAATTTATTTTGCAGGGAATTTTAATATAGCCTTTACCCTCCACCTGATCTTTGTGAATGAATATTCACAGCTCGCATCCAAATACCTCGAATGTGAACCCCTGAGTTGAAAGGCAGGGAGTGATACAAAAATGCCGAGGGTCAGCCAGAGGAAATTATGAGTCAAGTTTCACATAATGCTTTTTCAATGCTTTTATTAATTATTAGATAGAACCCTTCACAAGAGATACACAGTACCAGTGTAATTAGTAGAAAAGGAATAATTAGTGGCAGCAAATAAATCTCACATTAGCTTATATCACACCACTTGAAATGAATCAACCTGATCTCGCAATAACCGATCAATAACTAGACAAACACCACAACCTCGACTGTTTTAAACACTTGGCATGTTCTTGTGTATTATGGTGCAGGAAAGATGCTTACTTGTCTAGTTTCCAAAAAAAAAAAGAAAGAATCGAAGATAAAACTCATGTCTAAATAGTTATACACCAGGTATCTTGCCTAATCAGAAGAAGGATTAGAAGATATAAACCGAAACATGGCATGACATGCATCAATGTTTACACAAACACTCTCTAAACACCTTCATTTTGCCGACTTAGCGAGACTCTCGAATGACAATTGACAATACTCCCCAGGGATAAATAAAATTTTCTTCTTTTTCCTCATCACGCTATTCGTGCCCCGAGTTTACCTCAAAAACGTGAAATCATCCGTCCTCGAAAGAAAAAATGACAAGGAGATACTAAAAAACCTTCATCACAACTACTTTGCAGGACTCCCTTGAATGACAATTTAAAATGCTTCCCGAAGGCCCAAAAACAATTCCCTTTTTTTTCGCTCACCAAACTAAGTGTGTCCTGTGCTGCTTGTCCCATAGAAATTGGCTTCTGATTATTCAGCATCACTGATTTCAAATTTCACTTTTACTGTTTACGAATCATTCCACATGTTTAATAACAATTCTTTTGAGGAAGGAGACCAATCCCTTTCCCTGGCTACATAGCCAAACCTGTTGAGCGAACACCAGTGAACTCTCGCCTGCGTCCGATTGATGCACGCTTAGTAAATTGTCAGTTAGAGGTGTTAACCTCCCAAAAAAAGTCTAAATAACACAGAACGGTTGGAATCTCACTCCCTTTCCCTGCTGTCCACTTGATCATTCCTTTACCTTGTGACGTTGCATTAGTAGAATGAGAGTCTCAATGGGGTAATATCTTTTACGACATACGGATGGCATTTGGGAAATTTTACGGCTAACCGTTATTTTCTTTCTTTTATGGTTACCAGACAGAAATTTTCGGTTAACCTTTTTTGTAACTATGGGTTAAAATTTGTCAATTTTTACGCTTAAAGGCTATTTTGAATTAAGGCTTACGGTTAACCCCATTGAGACCCTCTAGAATTAAACTAATATCAGTTAGTAAATCGTTTAAGTCTCCCTCACTTAAAAATAATTTATTCTTGCTGCTCTAATTATTCCGTTTTAATTTTCCACTAACATTTCGTTGCCGCTCGTACCATTGCCCCTCCCTAGGCTTGATTCCTCGGCTTCTGGTAAGGCGGGTTCTTGCTGGTCAGCAGCTGTAGGTGGTGACTCGTACACTTGCGGCTTCACGGAAGTTTTTGTTACTGAGCTAGGATCTATGAAATAATTCTCTTCTGAATTTAGAGATTTCTTCTTTGTACCTTGTTCAGCGATTTTATCTGTATATTAAAAGAGCGAAAAGAAGAAATGAAGAAAAAAACAAAATTACTCTCATAATTTGACTGCCTACTTCATGCCTTCTTTATGAAATGTTTCTTATTCAAGAACTGAGACCTGCTCTTAATGTGCGATCGGTCTCAATTCGTGCAAAGGTTTTTGACTAGGTTTTAATTTTTATGTTTAATTGTTTTTAATTAGCTTCTAATTGTTTCTTCTTTTTGTATGATCTTATTGTCCTTTTATACTTCCGAAAATTTTATGCTACTTACACGCATATATATATATATTCGTCGTGAAATTCTTACCGTTCACTTGAAAATGACCGAAGTTTGGTCGAAACGTCGTGTTTTACCGTTCATTTTTATTGTCGAAATTACTCTCGGTGGCGATAAAAATGAAAGAATTTGCAGAAAAAGAAGCCTGAAAAATTCATGCTTCGTCGGAACAGCTGTAATAGACATACTATTGCGCAGTTGCATTTTACTTCAGAGATCGAGTTAAGGTAAAAAGTACTGAAAGACAATTGTCACTGAAGTCTCCCTCCACTTGTTCCCAGGGTCTGTCTGCTATCAGCCGCCAATGAAAGAAAGAGAATATAGGCAAAACAGAGATGCTCTGGAAGGGTTTTATGTATAACTTCCGACCCGGTTGGGTTGGTAGTTGCTTATAGCTTGTTTTATTTGAAGTTACTTTAATATACACTTAATGTATGGTTCCGAGGGAAACAGTTAGTTTCCCTCGGACCTTACATTAAATGCCTTGCTATATATTTAGACTTTTCCATAAACAATCATATATCAAAAACATGCTGTTGTATTCGGCGCGCGGGCAACAACTACGCAATTGTACCCCGATCGGGATACAATTGAATTTTGATCAGGGGCACGTGATCAAGAATCAACCAATCACAGCGCTGGTTTTGTTGAGTGAAAGTCTAGGTATATAACAACGTGTTTTATAACCGGGTTGGAAGTTACTTATAAGTTATTTCTTAAATCCCAGAGAAAAGGAGTTCACGAATTTATGAAACTAGCATAACAATTTTTCAACTAATTAATACCTCTCATTTTAAAACCAAATGGGCCCCGATTCCGCCGTCGTATTTTTATCCAATCCAGTCGTTCTCGTATCTTCACCTTCCCGTTGCGCAGGCGTAATCTTCGAAGACGACCGTTAAACATAGCGTGGGGCTTGTCACAGCAGATTCGCACAGATCGCCATGTTCCTCTGCGACGTATCTGGAGGGCTCCTTCTCTGGAAGGCACATATCTCCATCGTCCCCTGACACGGATCCCAAACTGTTTTCCTCTCAGTATGACTCGTCTCAATCTGCCTCGGTATCTTATGTTCCAGCCACCACGTCTTCTCTGAACTTTCCTATACCTTCCTCTATATTTGAGTCGCATTTCGGGATATTTCCTCTTCCGATTGAGGCCTATCCACTTCCTGCCTAATTTGATCTTTGGACGTCCACGACGGAAGCTGATTGGTCTTCCTTTCCCTTTTATATTTACCTTCAGTAGTCCTCGTTTAGGATATATCCAGCGTAGTTTTCGTCGGGTAACCACCTTTAGGCGGCGAATGATACGTTTAACCGGTCGCCATGGCTTATTCCCAGGGCGTATACTCACTCTCCCTCCGCGAATTCTGCAAAACAAAAAAGAGATACAAACATAAACACCGAGACAGAGAAGCGCCACTGTCCTTTAGCCTTGGGCTTCTATACTCTATCAAAATCAAACGTTTGCAAAATGACTAGGTACAAAACGTGACCAAGCTCTCCTGTTCTTAGGTGCCCTAATGGTTTCATATAGAAATGAAATGAAATGCTGCTCACCATCGAAGCAAATTTTTAATTCAATATTTATTCTCAACCACAACTGGTAGTGATGTCGCAAACTCAGATTAGCCAATTTGCCTTAGTCGATAAGAATATTTAGACAACGCTGCTTGCGTCACGTGTCATGCAATGGTCACGCACCAAAAGAATCGTTTTATTTGACGTCGATATTTTCGTAAAAAGCAAATCGACAGTGGTTTAGAATTGTATAAATCTACCGAGATGATTTGCTATGTTATCTGGGATCTATTCCATGATAGATAGCGCGTAATGTGCGAAGCACCTGGCGTAACCTATTTGTATCATCATTTAAAATAAATGTGAGTCAATTGGCTACGTTCGTGATTGGTTTATGAGGCAACGCAACTGAAAGATTATCGTGCGAATGAAGGCAAAACCAACGCAACGTCAAGTAACTTTCGACTAAAAAGCGATATAACCCAATAACTGACTGACCTAAGGCCATATCTTTTACGACCAACACGGAATCGTAGTCGCCCCATCCTCCTCTGGACCTTTCTAAATTTTCTGCCATACTTGAACAGGAGTCTTCCAGAACGTAACCCATAGCGGCGTTGCTGCTTTCTTCTACGGCGCATGAACCTTGCCCAGCGCCTCAGCAACCCTTTACGTTCTCTCCGTTTTCTTGCTTGTCGACCGTAAGAAGTCGAAGTTCGTCTCCATTTAAGACCGTTGTGGAATCTTAGTTTTCCACGACTGACTCGAATTGGTCTGCTCGTTCCGCGGTAACGGACGCCAAGTCTGTTACCGACTGGCCTCACACGCCTGTAACTTCCTTTCACACGAATCTTAACGTTCTTTGACACTTTTCTGACACGGACCCATTTCCTTGCTCTTTTAGAGCGATAAAAAACTGATTTTCTCCGGAATCTGAAGCGAACGAAGAGAGTGATCGATTAATAACCAATTGAATATATTCACACTAAAACGTGGGATAAGGTTGCCCCTCTAAGCAGAGCCAGGAGAGTATAAGAGAAACGCACCACAAACACAGTCATATCGTAAGACGCAAATTTAAACATGTAGAAGTGTGGAAATGGAGCTTTAGATTGGGTTGATTCCACTGTCTTCTGTAAAAGGCTTCTTCGGCTCCATCACAAACGAACCATAAGCAAGACGAAACGTGGTTGACCAATTAAAACACATGTTACGGTTTACTTACTTCAACAAGTATGGTTTGCGTCTAATGCGGAAGCTTAACATCCCTCCCTTTGGCCTGACAGATCGCCAGATTCGTTTAAACCGAAAACGTACTACACCACGTCGCGGTCCTCTGCGCCTGCCTCTAGCTTTCCAAGGCAGCCTCCTGGGTCTTCGAACCTTTGCCCGTTTAAATGATTTCCATCCCCTTCTTTTTTTGATAAGGATTCTGCGGGGTGTAACTTTGATCTTCGCGTACTTTCTACCGATACGAACGCGGGACCCTTGTACCCTTCTCCATCTTCTTTTCACGCGGGCAGAAAGGCGATAACTTTTCTTGGGAATTTCTCGCCAACCTTTCCTGTAACGGAAACGGAACTTTCCTGGGCTGTACCTGTCAAATATAATTTTATGAAAGAAATTCTTCAGATAAAGTGCTACCAAAAAATAAGTCACGCATGTATCATTTTTTTGTTGTTGTTGTTACCAAACTGATATTCTATCACTACATTGTGTCCTCTCGATTAAGTTGAAATATACACTTCTTTTGCGATCCTGAAAGTTGGATGTTTCATGAAGGTTTCTGTTAAAACCACACGTCACACAGCAAGGAGAATTAAATTAAATTAAAATTAAATTCACAGTTTGTTATTGTTGTGAGGCCATATAAGCATGTGGTGTCTCCGACCCCGAAGGGGAAAGGAACCATTGCAAATAACCTGTTTTTAAGCTCGTTTCGAGTCCTGGACATACCCTGAGCTAAATCACTGCAGCCTCAAACGAACTTGGTATGTACCAATAACAATTTTTCGGCCCTCTAAGCTTCAGTAATATGTTGATTCAACGACGATGGACTAATACAACAATTTGATTGTGCCGGCCAAAAGTGCCGAAGTCTTTGAGTTTTTTTGTGAAAAATCAGGTGGGCGAGATTTTCGCAATGTGTGATGGGCAAAGCCAATGTTGTTTTGGAGTGGCTTCCCGCTGGCTCTATTCTGAAGAAATCGACAGCTTCCAAAGGTTAGAATTGTCTCTATTCTAACTATGACCAGCCAGCCTTTCCTGCAAAAGAAACCTACGAAAGATGACTACGTGTACATTAAATAATACTAGTTACGAAATAGTAACCCTTATTTTTTTATATTACCTGATTTTTCTTCGGCGACCCATTAGACGGAATGTTAAATTACCCTTCCATTTATAGATTTTTCTCGTCTTTCCGCGATAATGAATCTTCAAAGGGCTGATTCGCCTCCTCCTCCGTCGTATACGTCTATCCACTCGCCTTTGTCGTCGTCGGTCACGTCGCAACTGTCTTGTTCTTCGCATGTAGCGCCGCAAAGTCCGACTTTTCTTGTGTTTGTAAGATGATCGTTTCCAAGTCGGTTTTCGCGCTTGGAATAGCGGTCTCCCGCCCTTCACCTTGATTCGCCGGTATCCTCGTCCTACACGAACTCTCATCCTGCCTCTGACTCGTCTTGCACGCCGCCATCGCCTTTTGATCAGGAACTGAGGTCGACTTCTGATGTAGCGTCGTCGTTTTCCGAGCCAGTAAGACAACCGTCCTGTTCGATTTTCATATCTGCCATACGGAAAGCCATGAGAATTTAATGTAGTCATCTTACTTGACAGAAAAATGTTGTACAGAAAAAAACAAGGAGAGCAAAGAAGCTGTCTTGAACGTTCTTAAAGTACATTTCTAAATTAACTTTTAACCTCTTTGCTCTACTTGGTCAAGAGCCATGATTGCAGTGCAAAACAAAATTATCAGATTTTCTTCATTCTCTCCTTTAGCTTTTTTTGTTTCTTACAATCGATGCAATCCCATTAAGAACAAATGACCCTTCTATTATAAAAGATATTAAACAACACTGAAAATTTCCTAATGCTTCATTTCAACTAGATAATGGATTGAGAACCCAATAGTCCGCTGCACTACAAAAATAACCTCACCTCACTCTTCGTTTTCGACCTTTGCGAGTCATCACCAGTCTTCTTCCTCGCTTGTAAATCTTTCTCAATTTTCCTCCGCATCTAACCCTCATTACGGCTCTTCGTTTTACTCTTGGTCGCCTGATTCCTTTCCATCTACTTTTTCCTCCATAAGCAACAATTCCACGCTTCACCTTGACTCGCCGGTATCTTCGTCCAACACGAACTCTCATCCTGCCTCTGACTCGTCTTGCACGCCGCCATCGCCTTCTGATTAAGAACTGAGGTCGACTTTTGATGTAACGTCGTCGTTTTCCGAGTCGGTAAGACACCCGTCCTGTTCGATTTCTATATCTGCCATACGTAAAGTAATGTAAATGATAAGTAGCGACTTTAGTTGGTTAGAAAATGTTGTATAAAAGAACAAGGAGAGCAGCTTAATTAGCGTATATTTAATAATTAGTTTCTGGCCTCTTTGCTCTACTTGTTCATGAGCCATGGTTGGAGTGCAATACAAAACTCTTAGATTTTCTTCTTTAATTCCTTTTACCTTTTTTTTCTATCAAACGATTCAATCTCATGGGTAACAAATGATCTTTCCATTGGAATAAACAAGAAACAACATTTAAAAAGCACTTATAGTTCAATTAGATATTATCATGGCTTGAAAGCCAAATAGACCGTCGCGCTAAAAAGAATCCTCACCTCACTGTTCGTAATCGACCTTTGCGTTTCATCACCAGTTTTCTTCCTCGCTTGTAAATCTTTCTCAATCTTCCTCCGCATCTAACCCGCATCACGGCTCCTCGTCTTATTCTTCGGCGCCTGATTCGTCTAAAATAAACGGGCATTCCACGCTTCACCTTGACTCGCCGGTATCTTCGTCCAACACGAACTCTCATATTGCCTTTGACTCGTCTTGCACGCCGCCATCGCCTTCTGATCAAGAACTGAGGTCGACTTCTAATGTAACGTCGTCGTTTTCCGAGTCGATAAGACAACCGTCCTGTTCGATTTTCATATCTGCGACAGGCAAGAAAATATAAATTTAAAGTTTGACACTAACCTTGCGAAACGGGAAGGAAGAAGACAACAACGTCGTAAAAGGAGCCGTTGCAAACCTTTTCTCTGTCGAATTTTCTCAGTTCACTTCCATATGAGCCATTATATCCGCGCCATTCAAACCTTAGATTTCCTTAATTCATTTACCGCTTCTTTTTCTCTTTCTAGTTAATTCGATCCCATTTGTAACAATTGTACCTCTTTCTGAAGAAAAAGAAGCTAATAATCCCTGACATAAAAACTGATTTTTCAGATCAGTTTTTTCACGGTTTTGGAACCAATCAGTCCTACGGGCAACCCACTCAACCTCACCTCACTGTTCGTAATCGACCTTTGCGATTCATCACCAGTCTTCTTCCTCGCTTGTAAATCTTTCTTAATTTTCTTCCGCATCTAACCCGCATCACAGCTCTTCTTCTGATCTTTGGACGCCTGATTCCTCTCCATCGACTGTGTCTTCGAAAAACGGTTCTTCCGCGATTCACCTTGACTCGCCGGTATCTTCGTCCAACACGAACACTCATCTTGCCTCTGTATCGTCTTGCACGACGCCATCGCCTTTTGATCATAAACTGAGGTCGACTTCTAATGTAGATTCGTCGTCTTCCAAACCGGAAAGAGATCTGTCCTGTTCGATTCCTATATCTAAGATGCAAAAAGCAAATTTGAATTGTTAATATAACTGATGAGAAGAGAAGACACAGGAAAATAAGGAGAGCTTTAAGTCTTGAGGTGCTCATCTGTGGGCCACATATTTCTTACTTTACGTTTATTCTTCGAAGGTGGAGTGAATATTTAACCATTATAGCCAACCATTAATTTTTGCGCGATTCTATTGGCTATTTTTTACGTCACGAGGAGCAAGCTCACCAGGCAGTTATTACGCTATAATACCCGTCTTCGTTAATGTTTGTCCATGGAAGATATACGAACTCGTTTGGTAGAGTCCAGCGATAGTCATACAGAAAAGCTGATGTCAAATGCTGCCCCGGAAAGTACACACAAACTTTTAGCACACAATATGAAAATAAATGGAAGAGTTATGAAAACTGGAAAGTTATTTACCTTACTGGTCTTTTTCGACCTCTATAACGTATCCGAAGGCTTTTTCCTCGCCTATAAATCCTTCTTTGTCGTCCCCTGAACCTAACGCGCATGACAGTTCTAGGTAACATCTTTCGGCGAATACGTCTCGCCCTTCTCATCCTCCTTCTTGACCTCTCTCGTCGTCGTCTCTGCCTTCTTCGTATTACTCTTCGCGTCCTCGGCCGCCTCCATGCACCTCTGTACATGATTCGAGCCCTACCGCGTTTTAAACGAAGTCGTCTTAGTCCATTTCTAAATCTGACGCGAGGTTTCCCGCGAATTAACCGCAATAACCGCCAGCGTCGGTCCATTCGAACCTTGACTGGCTTTCTAGGTAGCCATCGCCAGCCCCTCCTACCTCTGATTCCAATTCTGTTATTGCGATACCTACAGAAAAACTTATATCGTTAGATGATCAAAGGAAAAATCCAGGCTATTACATCACAGTGCAAAGATTTCGTACACGTGAACTCAGCAAGCGGAAATGCTACTGAAACTGCCTACATGCCCCCAGTAATTTTGATAAATTAAATTAGCTTTTAAGGGTGCCAAACCTAGTCGTCATGACGACATTGTCTCCCTCACATGTGAAAATATAAACGGTATGAGGAAATGTTGTTTTTGAAACAGGAAAACATCTGGTATTTCAGTGATATCGATATAATTACGAATTCACTTTTGCATCGAGTGAACACTAAGAAGTAAACACTGTTAGTCTCTAGAACTCATTTGAAAGCAAAAGCGCAGATTTTACAGGCAGGCAATTTCTCATTATTGAACTATAGGATCTTTCATCGAAGACCTGTTTAATTACCTTATTTTTTTCCACTTTCTTCTTATTCGGCCCCTAAAATGTCTCCCTTGACGGTAAACATTAATCCACTTTTTGTTAAGTTTAAAGCGAAAAACATTACGCCGTCTTTTCCGTCGTCTTTGGCGTCGGAACATGCGACGCCACTTCCTCACAAGCTTCCTTTGTCGTCGCCTTTTTGCACGTCTCCTTTTTCGTCTCTGTCTTCTTCCTTTGGGAAGCTTTCCTCGGACGACTCTCCACCTCATACCGTAACGTATCCTGAGGCGAATTCCTTTAAGCTTAATTGGTCTGTATCGCCCTCTCCAGTAAACACCGAGCCTTCCACGACGTCTTTTGATATATGACCACCTTTTGCGACCCACGAGAATCTTAAAACGACGTCTGATTCTACGTATTTTGCGATGTTTACCATTGAGAGTTGCTACAAAGTTCCTCCCTCGGCGATATCTGTTTGGAAATTGAGTCAGAAGTCATTAGTTATTAAAGCTTTGGGAAAACCCTCGATCATTGTAGCCATCATACAGCTCTAAAACAGTCTTTCAAGACGGCACTTTACAGATCTTCTAACTTACTCAAACTTTATCCATCGACGTCGATAGCGCATGCGGTACCCACCACGCCACTTGACAATAGGCCTCCAAACTCTGTGATACTTGAAACGTAGCACAGCGCGCCTGCTTCGGCGTGCATAACGCTCTCGACGCCTTCGACGACGCCTTCGCAATCTGTTTCGCCAACGTCGTTCTTTCTTTTGCTTCCTGTTTCGAGAACCTTTGTAAATTCAAAGTCAACGTATAAGCGTGATAGGTTTTTGAGTTGCACCACTAAATACGTTGACGTTTCAAGTTGGAAGTTAATTCATGCAAAATAGCGCTGAATTCCAACGGAAAGAAATGTCTGGAACTACTATACCATCTGATTTCTGATATGAAGTCTAAAAAATTATACTTCTATGAATAAACATATACGTAATTTTTAAACAGTTCAAAATTCGAAATATCAACCTGCACCCTTTAATTGTCGATAGAGACATTTGCGTAAAAGGAACTGTTTTAAAAGTAGTTGGTTTTATAAATTAGTGGTCAAAAAGCTCTCCTAAGATAGAAATCTTAAACAAGGGGCCGGACTTCACATTGCACAACGAAAGCTGGTAAGACCTTCCTCGGGTATCATAAATCTAGTAGAGTTAATAAACGACTAAAAATGACTCTGTGGCCCTTTATTTCAAGTTTGACAATCGTTTGACCAAAGCGTGGCCGAGGAGATGTCACGTGGTCTCTATTGAACACTTTATTGTAGAGGAAACGTTACAATTTGTAATAATAATAAAAACCACCCTGATTTCGAGAAAATATCAACAATTAATTGTTTTCTTAATATTAATCGTTTCAGCTTGCTTAGGGTTTCCATTTTCTGTTGATTGATTTGCTTGTGTGATCATCTTCTCCAAACGGTATCGAACCGGGGAGCTAGTCGAAAATTTATAGGCGGCGACCGCTGTCATTTTTCTAGCTAAATGCACGTGCTGGCGTCAGTTACCGATCGTGACACTTTCTGAGAATAAAATAGCATGATCCTTGTGTTCTTTCGATTTACCAGATATGGTAGAAGTAGACAGTTTTTAAACGAGCAAATCAGGAAGAAAGCAGAGGGGATAGCGCCCAAACACGGAAATTGGCAGCCATGTCGTTCTCCCTCAATTTGTTAACGTGAAGAAGAATGAAATTTAATATTGTCAGGAGTTAACAAGTTTCAACCGAAACCTTTACTAAATATATCTTGTAAGACGTTTTGGCGTGTAGTATCGCTGCGTATTTTAACGAGTTGTGCCGTATTTTGACGAGCCCGTAGGGCGAGTCATAGTACAAACAACGAATAAAAATACTCAGCTATACTACACACCAAAACGTCTAATAATTTTTCTGCTAAGTCTTTGTTTATTTCTCATAAGGTGGAAAAAGAAAAGCGGATAGAAGCGTAGCGCGCAGTCGTCTAGTTAAATATATTTTTTTACTGTACAAAATAACCAACTGTCTAAATAACCGTACAATATCACAGGATATTTGTATTTCTATTTGCGCGTTATTTGTACTCTTCTTTATGCAGTTGGATAACAATTGAAAAATATTCCCATCGTGAGCCGTCAGACGCTTAAGCCTAAACTGGTTTAGATTGAAACGGTTGTTTCCAATAGCACACGACCTCAGATGCTGGTGCAAGGTTCATCTACAACTAAAAAATCCTGCCCACGGTGCGAATGCAGATCGATAATTACAATAAATTGTCGTTCCACTGACCTCGCAGGGTGATACATAGATGCGCGTCTTTCACACGTTGTCGCCAATCTGTAAGAAAAAGAACCATACTTCAGTCGGTATTCAACACCAAGGCAACATCAATTGAGAGAGGCTATTACCTCCTCGTATATAAATGGGCCTATTCCAATAATGTTTTTAATCTGATTTTGGCGGGTAGTTCTATTTCGCCGAATAGTACCTCATTGGTCATGCATAGTCAGCCTTGATAATATAAATAAAATCTAACAGTTTGAGGGTTTTGTACATATGTTTACAATCTGCCAGCTTACTTTTTCAACTATCAGTTCAAGCATTAGCTGACTTTTCCTTGGTACTGGATTTTGTGACGGTGATATGAAAACTAATAAACAATTTGAACTTTAAAAACATACCTTTTCTCATGCAAAGTTTGCTAAGTCGAGGCTTTGACCCAAGACCTGCACAAAGAGACATCAGATTCACTTGGAATCTTATATCTTTTATTACAATTTACCAAAAGCTTTTAACGTTACAATTCTACAAAAACTAACCACACCGGCATACAATACTAACACATTTCTAATCAGTATCCTCTTTGTATCAACCCTTTGACTCCTAAGAGTGATTAACATCTAATTTCTCCTCACAATAACAACTCTGAATTCACGAGAATAAATGAAATAATCACCAACTAGAAAGATCTTGATTGTTAAACAAATTCTCCTTGTCGGCACCTTAGGAAATGTATAGAGAACAGTATGGAGAATATGCATACTGATGTAAGGGAGTAAAGGGTTACCAGTAACCGAAACCTTCTTACCGGTGATATGTATGTTTCCCACTTTAAATCCATCGTTAGATGCTTTAAGGTAAAGACACAAACATGGTTATTGCATATAAATTATGGAATTAATGAAATTTGAGAATTTGACTTGAAATTTAAATGAAGTGAAAAAGCATAGCTATGTCTCATTGAGTCCAACTGCATGATCGCTGTATCTTTGATAGTTGAGAAAGAGACTACGTAAGAATTTCAATACCTCTATCGAGACTTGCATCATTCTTTATGGCGTCAATCGAGCTGCTTTCAAAGGAACCTAGATAGAAGTAGTTTTGTTTGGTCTTCGATGTCAGTTTATAAGTTTGATGAACAAAATTATTTTATACAAGATTGGTTTTTAGATTCTGAATTTTAAGGCTTTAAGCAAGAAACGACAAGAAAGGAGACCTGTTAAAATTAACTATGTGGAATTCGTTAGAGGAATTATGGAAAAATATTTAATTTGATCGATAAAGCTATCATTTTCCTCTCCAGTTTCCTTGAAGGGTCCTAACACCCTCTTAGACACTGCACTGAAATGTGAGGCACGTCTTGCGTGCCATGGAAACTTTTCATTTCTGAACAGTCTGGAATATAGACAACAAATACAACAAAGTAGCAAGTAAAAAAGTATGATATTGAAATCTCATTTTGGTAAACCGTGCCCCAAAAAAACTCTCTCGTGCATAACATTTCTTATTTATGTCAAAAATTCGGATTACCACATTTATTCACACCTAAAGCCAAACGTGGGTAGGCGTAAGAAACTATTTTCTTCAACTAATTCTTAAGGAGCATTTCATAGAGCTGGAATTAAACGGCAGTTTCAAGTTTCCTTGAAGGGTCCCAACGCACCCCTTAACACACTGTACTGAACAGTGAGGCAAATCTTGCGGTCTAAGGAAACTTTTCATTTCTGAACGGTCAGAAATATAGACCTAAATTTTCCCCACCTAGATCTTTCGCCTTGAGTATTGAGTTTCAAGTTGAATTTTTCGTTTTTTGTGTAGCTGACGGTTGGCGTGATTTTCCAAAATGAACTTACCGTTACTTTTTTCCGGTAGTTTTTGAGGTTCGTCTGCGTTGATAAGGTCATTCAATAGAGGGTCATGGACTGTTTTTTGACTGTTGAAGTCAGGATTATCTCCATTGTAAACTTTTGATGAATGAATTTCATTTGAAACAAGAACTACTCCGTATCTGAAGAGTGAAAACAATGGAATTTTAACTTTAACACTAGGTGAGTGAGACATACTTAGTTAGTCAGTCACTGAGTCAGTGAGACAAAGTTGACGTTTCGAGTATTAGCCCTTTGCCATAATGACTGCCATCCTTGAGAATACTTAACATACGTCCGAAATTTGAAATTGTCGATCACAACTATAGTCACTGGATTCAAGTGAATTTTATCCCTCACTCAATTGTGTGCAATAGACACATGCGCGCAATGAGAACCTGTTTCAAGAGAACTTCGCATGAAGCTTTAAATCACCAGCTGGTTGTTTAATATTTTTTTTATCAATTTTTACCAATTGGTGTTTACATTTCATGGTGGTATTAACTATCAACATTTAATTTTCAACCTTTTCCGAGATTTTCCAGCTTCACTTGATCAGACCGACGACATATTCCTTTATTGCAGATGTTTTGTAAGCTAGGATTGCTAGCTTGGTCTGACTTATCCGATGATGTAACATTGAATTCGTAATAGATGAAATTGTTTTACTTTCTTCTCTCGCGCGTGTAATAATTACCTGCATGCCAAGCAAATGAAGCCAACTAGGTGTGTATCATTCATCCGTCACAATCATGTTATTGCATGTGTCTCGAAATATTCGCATGCGCAGAACACTCCAGAATTCAGGCGGCGATGTTTTTTTTTCCCTTAATACGCTCTTTACTGGTCGTGGCTTTATCGATGATCAATAACAGAACTAAATTAGGTATCTTGTTTCAGAGAAAAATGATGTAACAAACCTAAATCATGATGTTCACACTCATACGATCAACGATCATTGCAAACAACAGTGTTGAATCACTCGAAATCAGATTTTTAAAAATAAAATTTCATTTGTGAGGTACTCTTCTTTTCAAAAACTAGACCACGCAAACTTCACCGTTTCTTTGTTTACTAGATGTTTACAAAACCCTTCCTAATCACAACTAAATTTTTTTGACCTACCGATATCATTTCGTAGTAAAGGGATCATAGCACTCTTTTAGTTGTCACGTTCCTGTCCGCTGTGAACTACATTTCTTAATAAATGGAAAACTGGATGGTAAAAGAATTTCGTCTGTTGCTTATAGACGGGCAAAAATATGTCAAAAGGTTTACTGAAAGTAACAGAAACATTTAATTAGCCCTAAAAACATTGTCGCACGGAAAAAATGGTATGTCCTAGACCAAGTTTGCGAACAAGCATGTTTAGTGCTTAACTAGCCATACTCTTAAGACGTTCTTCCTTGAGCTTGGATGTAAATCTTATTTAAGATGGTCAGTTTTTTGTTGTAGCCTAAATGAACCTTGTTAAAAAATCACAAATAAATGGCTGTTTGAAATATTCATTCGGCCAGAGAAACCGTTTAATTTATAGAGAAAAAACAACTCTCTAGAATGAAAAAAAAAAAGGTGGTTCCAAGCAGGTTCTATCTCTCCAAGTCAGTGATGTCAATTTCTTTCGGTCTCATTTGCTAACTTGACATCTTGTGTTGCTCCCCTCACCTGATAGGATTGTTTAGCCAATTTCCACAGATTTTTGCGCGAGTCTTTGAAGGAAGTGAAAATGAAATTGAGGCTTCTTAAGGAATGTTTCAATTTTGGGCAGTGTGAAGAAGTTTCAAATACAGCTACTTCAATATACATACTTCGAAAGATTTTTTGGCTTTAAAAACCAGAGCACAAGCCAAAGATAATCATTGCTACCGGAGCAAAATCATTACTGAAAAATTGTTAGAAGGAATTCTGCACAAAGACATATTAAAGAACGCTAGAAATCTCAAATTGTCAACACTTACAGGAGCAGAAGGTGAATCCTCATGCCGGGATGGACGGACAATGTGTCCGCGTTCACGATTCTCGACTCTTATCAATAGAACGATTCCCACAAATATTGAATTTATTGTTTATGAAGTCACAGTTCAAAGATGACATTACAGTTTGGCCACTGTAACCAGAAACAATGACAAACCAAGTGCTTTAACAAAAACAAACAATTGTTGCTCGAGAGGTAAGATTCCAGGAACACCACACGTTTCGATAGTAAAATTGTAAGTGACTAGAAAGAAAATGAAAAAAATTTTTCCCTGCAGGAAAGCGTGTAGAAATCATTTTCAAAAGCCTCAGCCATGCCATACTAAGGATGAAGAGCAAGGAATTAGCCTTTTGTTTGTATTTTTTAGAAAAGCTGTTGATTTTAAGATATTTTGTTGGAAATGTGGGTGGTAGCAATCTTTCGACCAGGGAAATTTCGCGGTATCTATCACAGAATGCATAAATTAGGCCATTATTTTCCCTCTAAGCCATTACACAATAGAGGGAAATATTCAAAATATCGTACTTATTCACACTTCAAACCCAAACTTTCACTGGTTAAAAATATTTTTGTAGTTTTTTTTTTTTTTTTCCTTCAGTCATGGTTCATCATGGCACGTTTACGCCCCGATTTCTGACCGATTTGGCTTCATGATTTCAGGCAAAGAGTTAAACAACCACAACAACGTAGTAAGGAAAATAGTATGATATTGAAATCATAGTTTGGCAAACCGTGCCCCCAAAAGACTTTTTCGTGCATGACATCTCTTATTTATGTCAAAAATTCGGTTTACCACATCTATTCACACTTAAAGTCAAACGTGGCTGGGTGTAAGGAAAACTATTTTCTTCAACAAGTTTTTAAAGAACACTTCATAGAACTGGAATTACACAGCATCTTCAAAAACAATTTAATGTCTCCTACCACATACTATAATAACCCTAGCATTCGTAAGGATTATTATAGTATAACCCAAGAAACACGATAGAAGGAATCTCAGTTTCAACTTAAGAATTTTATTTGTATCAGACCAGCACAGTAATCATCAGGTAACAAACTCAACTTTCCGTAACAATGGTTTGGATCTTTAGGTTTTATCTAAGTCCCTTGGGTCTGTGAACGTATGCGCGTCATAATTTACGATAATTAGGCTGTTTAAAACGAAGTGATAAGAACTCGGCGCAGAAAAAATCTTCACAAACTATTAGAGAGGATATGTAACGGTTATGACCATCGGCCGCGAGACTTGTCCAGAATAAACTCCTTCACCACGCTTTCAGTTGGGCGAAGAATTGGCTACAGGCAGACAAGGTTCCCATGTTTCTTTCCGAAGATAACGTCACGTTTTTCATTCAATAAACCACATACAAAAGAGCAGTCATAGAGCAATGGACAGGGTGGGGTTGTGTGTAAGGCGGAGAGGGGTTGGGGTAGGGATAAACGGGCTAACGCTCTGTTCAGAGACTAGCAAAGTGTCACTTTATTACAGTTTTAGCATTACAGTCACTCCGTTGAGAACCGAATGTAATTTTTGACCAAATATCAAGTAACAGACTAGTTTATTTACTCCATAAAGCTTGCACAAAAAGTATATCCCGCGTGGAGTATTAAATATGACGTTCAACACAACATTCAGTATCTTCCCTGGTTTTTCTACTAATTTCCATTTATTTGTACGTTGCCGTGAGATTATACGGTGAGCAACCTAGATATCTTCAGGTGTAAGTAGTTTACTTTCGACATGTCTCATAATTTGCCAAGAACCAGTCGCAGGTGTCTTTGATGGCTACAAAATAGTGAAAAAATGAATATGCTTTAACGTCAAAAATACCAAACAAGAGAAGCAAATAAAAAGAAGGAAGCTTAAAAAAAAGCATGATCAGCATATGCCATAAATGTTAGATTAAGCGCCCAGGTACTTATTTTTATTCAGTTCTAAGACAAAAAGGAGAACGGTGATTAAAAGGGAGCACTTAATGTTCCTTTGTTCAATGATTTTTTTGATTTCTTGTAAACATAACATATAGAATAAAAGAAGGAAACAGTTTGGCAACAAAATTCTGCGGTACTTGAACCTAAAAGTTACTTTATTGAAGTGGCTTTTCAATCATGTGGAAATTTCCTTGAGGAAAATAAGAGATAAACGTGTACCACTTAACCCTCAAACTCCCAAGATCTGACTCCTAATTCTCCCCTCTAGCTGATACACATTTCCTTTTAAATCAGTTACAAGAATTTGGCATTAGATCAGGAAACATCATCTTCCTGATAAGTTTGAGTACTCTCACTACCTGTTTGCTGGATATTGCACAGATATGTTGGGGAGAAGTTCTATGTTAATCACTATTGAGAGTTAAAGGGTTAAAATCCCTACAAAGACCATTATGTAATGAAATATTCATCAAAAGCAACAAGTTAAATTTACAGTTTACTATTTAAGTTATTACATCTTTTTACCTATCCTTGGATCAGTAAACTTGAAGTCTGGCAAGTATTTCCGCAGTTTTGCATTGCTTGCAGTCTTCTTAAACTGGCCATCTGATTTGCTAGTGTCATACTTGACAAGAGTTAAGAATAATTTATTCCTTGAACCTGTGATTTTTCTTTGATCCAACTGATACAATTCCTTTCCACCAAAACACTGCATAAAACCACCTTAAGGCATCAATATTTTCTAGGAAATATCATTTTTAAAAACACAAAAAGGAAAAGGCCATCTCCCTGTCACTCTTGATAGTGTATAAGAGGCAAAGAGTTACCACTGTCAACTATCTACAGACAGGAATTGAGAGTGAGCTAGTAGGTAACTGATGGTAATATGCATGAAGTTATGACTAGAATTTTAGCAAAGGATACTTCAACTTTTCCTTCAAAACCCATTCCTTCTACAACCAGCTCTGCAGCCTCCTTTATTGACAGTTCATCCTCTTCTCCCACTAAACACCATCAATCAGCAAACACAATAAGTTTAAGACAACTAAAAAAAATTAAAAGCAATGAAACTAGCACTATCTATCATACCTATCACACTTCCTTGATGCTGTTCTATCCGGGCCACAAATGAAATACCCATGACATATCCCATGACAAATTGGCTTTTCATTCATTTAAACTACCGTGTATTTTTTTATTACTGAATGAAGTTCAAGAAACTGGCTTGATTGTTGCATTAAACACAAATAAAATGATGCTAACCTGACAATATAATTGGATCAACTTCAGTATATTCCCTCATCACCCAGATCATTAACCTAGCCAAATCCTAGAAAAGTTAAGAAAGAGTTACATCAGGTCAAATCTTCTGATCAAAGCCTCTATCAATATAATATTTAGTCAAAAAGTGTTAAGTAAGGGTTGACAAAATTTTTCACTCACCTTGGAATAAATAAACTGTCTCCGTGGTGAACCAGTTCCCCAAACTACAAGGGGTTTGCCTTCCTCTACACCACCACAGTGAAGAAAACAGAAAAATGGCAATTTTACTCTCACTGAAAAATATGATATCTCGAGCTCTTTTCACTATTTTTCTTGTATCTTGTACAACAGAAATCCTGACACAATGAAGGAGGAGCAAACTTAATGTAAAAACCACTCAGGCACAGAATCAAATCAAGAACTGTTTGAAACTTAACATTTATCTCAGTTACAATTGATTTTACTTTGCAATACTACTAAGAACATTTTAGGAAGAGTGTTTCAAAGGACTTGCTCTTTTACATTGAAAACAAAGAGACTGAATTTCTCCTGAGATAAAGGATTGTGAAGAATGCAGTGATAGTAAAGATAGAGCCTGTGAAATATAAATTGTTAATTTTGTATTTTAACATAAAAGTAGCCCTTATGAAAATTTGGCATTTCAACTTACTTCGTGCCAAGTAAACTTTGTGAATAAGTCCAGGTAGAACATGAGAGTCCTCTAGATTAAAATTATCATACTTTCCATACACATTGGTTGGAACAACGGAAGTGAAAGAGCATCCATCTGGATACTGCTGTTGATATGCTCTACAGAAAAATAACACATTTATCAAGTCACATTTTGGTATTCTGTTTCACCTTTGAGAACTATGAAAAATAAACTGGAAGGTAAAATTGTTCACAACAACAGTCATTGTTTTACAAGTTAAGCCAATTCAAATGATGCCTTATATTTTATTTTATTATGTCCATTTCGAAATGACTGGTGACTTGGCTCTCATCAGTACAACTGATTCAGAAATTGCACCATTTTTTGCTCTTAATCACATCTTTCTCCCAGCCAAAGGGAAAGCTTTACTAAATCACAGGAATCATCTGATTTCAAGGCTTGTTTAAAGTAACCAATCAAATTGCAGGAAAGTGAAAGACAACTTTTGCAATGTTTTACAAACCAGCTCAGTACTGGATCAATAAAATATTTATACAGACTAAAAAATTATGTACTTGAGCAACTGACATTTGTGCTTTCAAAATGGATGTTAAAAAGTGGTAACTATACTCTGTGATTTTGAAATTAAATGCTCAAGACTTTCATTTAAAATCACAAAAAGGATTTCAGACCGAAATTGCACTCCACTCATATCAATTCCCATTATTTATCACTAGTGCTAAATTATGGTAATGGATCCTCAATAGGGGTGCAGAAGGGAGGAGGAGAGTGAAGCACAGGGTTAAGGGAGGGAAGGTGATAGGTGATGGCTGTTGGGTGGGGCTTTACAGACAAATGATAAAAAACCAGTAGCACTTGATAATTATAATCACAAGAGCAAGGGATAGACAGCCTCCAATCTGACATAAGTGAAACTAGCTAAAGGTAAATGTACTTTGGGGAAGAGTTTGCAAAGAATACCTGTAACCCTGTGCCAGTTCTCCTACAGCATAGCCTTAAAATCGCACCCACATATATTGACCCCTAATCTTCTGCTATTCAAAACTATTGTAAAACCCTCCCATGAGTGGACAAAGAAAACAAAAGCATTTGCAATAAAAGAGTAAATTTTCAATATACCTGTTTTGCACATCAATCATACGCTTGGAGTATGCATAACCAAAGTTAGAAGAGTGAGGTGGGCCATTGTGAACCATTGTTTCATCAATGGGATATGTTGTCTTGTCTGGGAAAATGCATGTAGATAGACAAGATATGCACTTCTTCACCTACAGTTTAGCCAAGGACAAAATCAGTTTACTTGCCTTATGAACAAAAGGATTGGAAATGATATCAAAACACAAAGCATTTAACAGTCCATTATCATATTTCTTTAACAATTTAAACTCCCAAGATCTGATTGTTCATTCTCCCCACTGGTTGCTACATATTTCCTTGTGAATTAGTTGCAAGAATTTGGTGTTAGATCAAGATAACAACTTCTAGCTGATAAGTTTGAGTATTCTCATGACCTGTTTGCTAAATAATTTATTGATAATATAGGCAGAACTTCCAGTTAATCCCTTTTGGGAGTTAAAGACTTAACTCAATACAATAGGATGGATATCTACATGATCAGCTTTAAGATGAAAGTCACCTGACATGACACCCACCTTACTTAGATGACAGCTGTAGAGAACGTTGTCATTAATAAGTGTATTCATCCGCTAAGGAAAGAAAAATGAACTTGAGATTGTAACAACATATGTACACCTGTAGGTACACCTTGCATTTAAATGCCAGAAATTACACTTACACATAATTCTAGTTCATTCATCTGGTTGCTAACCTAACTGAGATTACTTTATTGTTTACTCCTGTTGATAATTCATAGCTATTACAAAATGATAAAATTAAAGCCTGGATTTTTCCAGACCTCTTTTTCTGCAATGACTTCAACCACAGAAAACCTTCCAAGATTAATTTGTTACTTGTTGATAAAAGTTTAATTTGGATAGTACTATTGAAGCAATGGCCTGATGTGAAAAAAAAAAAGAAAGAAAGAAGGAAAGAAAGCAGGTTTATTTTATTTTCATCACAGACTTTAAAAAGTGGGAAAATGAAAATGTTTATGATATATTAACTCAAAGGAAAAAATATCATGATGGGCATACCCAGAAATCCAGATTGTACTTGAGGTTCTTGAAAAGTCCACCCACCAGAGCTGCTAAGTGAATAACATGAGTTGGCTTGTACTTGTCAAATATTGCTTTGGTTGCTGCAGCATCACTAAGGAATAGAAAATTTTTAATCTATAAACTTTGAGCTCATCACAAATATTCCTTTAAAGCTGACTGCCGATTACAGTGTTACAAAACCAATGCTGTTATATAAAAGTCTATGAAGAGAATGTTCATGCTCTCCATCATTTCTTAAGTATCTTCCCTTAAAGACAAATAAGAAATATGTACAAAGTTCTCAAAATTTCAGACAACATTCTTTTTCATTCCTAGGAAATAAAGTTGATATTCTTTTCAATGATAGTAGACATACATTCTATACACTGAATCATTTAGCAGAAAATGAAAGGGCCCAAAATCTTCATTCTTAGTTAAAAATAGAAAACACAATTCATATAAATTTAAAACTATTTCACAGCTAGTTTTTCAGATACATGGAGTTTAAATCTCACCAAAGGTCGCCATCTTTAGAAGACAGAAAAATCCAAGTTTCATCTGATCTTTTCTCTTCTGTTGCTACAATTTCTTCCAGAGCTTTTCCAACAAGGCCAGTGCCACCAGTCACAAGAATTATTTTTTGCTCAGCCATTTGTACTTCAAAAGAGGGTTAAAATAGACTTTACATACCAAATATATCATTGACATCTTCAAGAACTTAAACAATTTAATCATAATGAAACAATATGATTTTCAGTCTATTGAGGTGTGATGGAAGGTTGGCAACCACAAGTAACTAGCTTCGTTTCCAGTCACTGTGACAAAATGCTATTTGACCTCGTTTTGCTGGCTTTCATGTTTGACCATTGGCAACGCACAGCCCTTAGGATTTGATTACCTTTGGAAAAGAGAAAGGTTGCCCATAACAACATTGTACTCTTATAGCCAAAACCCTGTCACCAAACTTTTACTGCACTTCATTCAACCAATAATCAGAGTAAGTCAAACCGGTACATTTCTTGCCACTTTTAATAAGCCATACAGATGAGTGTAGTTTGAAAACCTTTCTAAAATTGTGAGTGACTATAAATCACCAAAAGAACAACCAGTTTAAGTGGTATTTTTTGTTACTATATTCTCAACTAAGTGTTAACTAACCAACACCAATTTGAAGATCCTCAATCCATATCATTAAAATTTACTGTAAAGAACTTATTAAGAATGAAAAAAACAAAGAAAAAATTATGCCAAAAAAAAAACAACAGAATTTTGATGAAAGTAATGTCCATGAAAACAAAAGAACTTAATGAAAAAGTGACAAAGGTAAAAGAAGGAATATTGTCAAAAGAAACACCAAATAATTTTGGAAGCAACAGTTAAAACTGTCACAGCAGCTGTAAATATATATAATTTATTTGCAAAAACATCTGCTGCATACATAGGGACAGTGTGAGTAGAAAAACATCTGCACTGCCCAGTACTTTTCTTGAGCTTATGTTTGAAACAATAGCAGTACTAGAAAAAATGGCAAAATTTTTGAAAAATTGAAAAGTGGTGCAGTTTTTTGTACCAAGGTTAAGACCCAAGCAAGGAGGTTTTGCTTAAAAATTTCACTAACAATAGTCCTTCAGTGGGGGCACAAAACATTTTTTCCACACCATAATTATATCCTTGCACACTTGCTGAAATTAAGCTGCAAACTGTTGTACTTTGATTACAAAAATGCATTATGAGTAGGTTGGGCTACAACCATGTTGATATGTTTGCTGGGTGGTCCTCAGTGATAGTTTGATTAACAGTGGTTTCAATGGATGAAGCATAATATAGGCTTTCAACTTCATTAAAATTACTCCCATATCAATTATTAAAATAATGTTGCTATGGATTCAAAGGTGCATTTGTGACATGCACAGATGTTTTCCAGTTTTGTTTATATACAGTAATTGTGAAGTTTTGAAATTCAGGGCAATTTAATTTTTTACTGGTTTGATCTGTCCTTTCTACGTTACAGATACATAACCATGATATTAAAGATAAAAAAAATAAGATAACTAAAACTTCCTTATATTCATTTTGTATAGGTAATCATATGAATTTGAGTGCAATTAGGAATAAAAAAGCACAAGTAAATTTTTTCCCATAGGGTGAGTGCAATTTGTGGTCTCTGAAAAAATTTACAAGTGCTTATTTATTCCAAATTGCACAAGAAAAATTATGGAGCAACTGCAGAATACCCAGCCACTCATTTACATGTCATTGAATAAGAATAGCGTCTATTGTGTCATGCCTCGATCTTCGTAGCCACCCGACACATGTAAGTGAGGCGGACCAAAGTGGCCGGGATTCTGGAGTTTAGCCATTTGATTACACATTGATATTATACATGAAAAAATACGAGATAGGTCATCATAATTATGCAGAAGCAAAGCGCGCGCATCAAGTGCAAAAATAATCTAATCAAACATGTGCGTTCGGTCAAAACACAGGCAGACAACCCTGTGGGTTTAAGGCCGCATGACGTCAGTTACTGCCTCACGCGACCTCAAACCTGCAGGGTTGTCTGCCTGTGTTCAAAATAACCACGTACGATCAAAACATTAATATACAATGATATTTTTCAAATCTTTTTAAGGTGCAAAAAAAAGTTCAAAGTCCGGCTAAACAGTTCAAGGAATTGTTCACTCTGGTTTGTTGCTTCTTTGCTCGAAATTTACCCTCTTCTGCTTTAAATTACTTGAAAACTGCATTGACCTTCACCAATCAGAACGGAGTAACTTTTTTAATGTAACTTATCAGTCATAGTATACATACGCTACCGGCTGGCACGTGTATAATTGTTGTATGCTTGTGTTGGCTGGGACTCTTAACTCGATTTAGTCCATTTCGTCCAAAATCACAAGCCTGTTTGCTAAACAGGTATGAATTCTTTTTAATAAGCTAACAAGAGGTAGCGATACCGCGGCCAGATTTTCGCGGCGATGACTTGTGGAACAATGACCCCGCAATTTTTACCTTCGCATAATCGATCTCCATAACCTAACATAATATGAAGCGTATACGAAAAGGAAGACTGCGTAACTTTACCTTACAATCAGTCGCTCTTTAAGCAATAAGGCAAACAATAAGTAACTAAAGCTGATCAAAATCAAAATAGGTTACATAAGTACCTACCTTTCACGAGGGAGTTTGGACGTGTCGATCGAAATTTCTAGGATAACAGAAGCGCTTTGTAACCACCCACTACCCGAAGCGTTTTACATCTAGAAGTCACGCAAATAACTGCTTGACGTAACCCAGACAGTAAAGGTGAAAAGCATCATGGGACACTAGTTACTTCTCAAGATGGCGGCCCAACCAAGTTCAGGTAATTGGTAGTTTATTTTAGATGTTCTCTACACTGAAGAAGAAAATATGTCAGACAATTTTCAGCATACGTATCAATAGTGAAGCCTTTCCAATCATAAGTGATGGGACCTCGGAGAATACATCGCCAGTCCTTATTCGGAAGTTATGCGGAAGTTCGGCGATGTCGACTAATCATTTTACAAACTGTTTGGACTTCGTTTCTTTTTCTTTACTATCAGCGTTTTCTGTTTTATGTTGAAAAGGGAAAATTTATTTTGGATAAGTGTGAAAGCTATTAGATTTGTTTAGATATCTTTTTCTCAACTAAACCTCGCTCTGTATCAGGTGATTATCTCGCATTGCATGATGACTGAGCTATAATTGGCCATGTTTATTTTGTTTAAATTTGCTCATCGAACTTCTCGTTCACGGAAGATGACTCAACAATAATCAGATGTAAAGGAATATTTACTAGCTTTTAATATACGGCACTTAACTGTGGAATGCTTCATATCTTGATGAACGCACAGATGATGTATGAACCAATTGTTTAATAACATTTTCAATCCAATGAAAAATTTTTTCTCGAGGGATTTGTTTGCTGATGTCATGAGGGTGCACAATAGGAATATGAAGCATGCTCACGCAACTTGTTTGGACAAATTTACTAGCTATGTTATAATTTCTGTTAATACCCGAGTGGTATCTGTTTGTTGAAATTCACAGTTTTCCTTGAGCTTGGTCCCCAGAGAACTGATGGCTTCTTGAAACAGATAATTTTTTTACACAAACATCTTAGCTTATTTTTGCACCAAGTACGGGTTGTTGTATAGATACAATAACAGAGACACATGAGCATTATTACTGATACAACTGATTATAGTTGTGCTGTTGCTGTTTTTTTTGACTAGAGCTTTAGCTTTCAATTACCTCATGTGAGGTGATTAAGTCTTTTTGCCCCTAACAGTGACTATAATTTAATTTCTCCTTACAGTATTGCCACTGAATCAAATATTAAGCTCATGAGTAGAAAAGAAATGATTGCCAGCTTAGGAGCTTTTTGATTGTTAAACATATTATCCCTGTTGTTATCATAGGAAATGTATACAGAACAGTATAGAGAATATGCACACTGATGTTATGGTGTAAAAGGTTAAAGCAGAGTATTGCGCAATCATCAACCAATCAGACTGAGATTGTTTGGGTGTTTGTAATCATCTGAGACTCGTTGTTCAACAGAGGAGTTTATTACATCTTACAGAAACATCATGGAGTAACAGGAAGTTACAAAAGCTGATAGTAATGCAAAGAATAAAACAGGTGAATGACAATCTCTGGTAAGTTAAATTATCAATTTTTTCTGATCACTAGGGAATGCACGAGCTAATGTGATGACTGGTGATTTGCCAGAGGATTTTTTGCGGCTTTCGCCAGCAGTAAACCAAGCACCTCCTCCTGCAGGACAGATGGTTCCAGTCCAGCCTGTTACTTATTACCAACCAACAGGGTTCATGCAGCCAATTCAGCCTCAACACATAGGAAGATTAAGCATTACAGTACAACAGGTCTGCAAAGTTCAGTTTTAGTTTTAATAAAGAGTGTTATATTAAGGATCCGCACATAGTTTTAGTGAGAAAAAAAATAAATTTAATTAATTTACTAATTTAGTAATAAGTATTAAGTTTGTAGTTGTGTATCAAGGGATTAAAGTTTTTTCATGTTCTTTTTAAAATGTTGTTCTGTGCTTAAACAGAACGGCCTTGGCTCTGTACGGTGTTAGATCACAGATAAAGTCAAAATGTGGTACGTAAAGAAGTACCAAGTACCACAAGAGTGGCACAAAAGGCACAGGTGAATGTGTCACAGATACACTGCAATATAGACTGAATCTATTATTTTATTAAATAGCAACCACATGTGGTAGATAACAAATGATGAAAAAATGAGCTCCATTTAAATTTTACAGGCTCTCTTTATTCACCTCAACAGGCTAAGTTGGCTAAGAATTATGGCATAACCCGCATGGATCCTTACTGTCGAATTACAGTGGGAAACCATGTGTTTGAAAGTCCAACAGCTCATAATGGTTCAACAAACCCTCGTTGGAACAAGTTGATGTCAATGTAGGTACCTACATGGGAAACTTATCTAATTGACTTTTTTCCTTTAAATAACTTGCAAGATCTGATTGATAATCTACCCTCTAATGACAGCTCATTTCCTTCTAAAGAAGGTACAAAAATTAGGTGTTGGGTCAAGATAACAAATTAAATAACTGATAAGTTTAAGTTTTCTCATTACCTGTTTGCTGGATACTGTACAAGTATTATAGGGAGAAGTTACATGGTAATCCCTTATGAGAATTAAAGGGTAAATGGGTGTCACTTGCTAGTAATTCATAACTTGCATGTTACTTAGGGACGTTGGTGTATTTTTTTTTTTTCGTTTGTTTTCCTAAGCCAAGTTAGACTGTCTTTGCAAGTATGAGGAGTTTCTTTACTTCTGCATGCTTTGTGTATCTTTATCTAAAGTCTTCTTTGTGGTGTCCCTCAAAATGTTTACTATGAAATAACATTTTTTTATTATTTCACAGTCCCATGCAAGAGGGTGTTAAGAATGTGTATGTGGAAATTTTTGATGAGGTGATAACCATTCTCATACATATTATTTTATGATAACCTGAGTATTTAGTATGACTTGTACAATTTGGTTAAACAGCAATGAACCTAACAAATGATTGTGTTTCTTACTACCTCAATTATCTTAGTTGGCTCCTACAACAGCTGTATTATCAGTCTTAAGTTTATTCAAGCTTCAGATCCACATATCTTTATCTGTCATCAACTTCTAAGAATACAGTTGTTGCCATTTATGTACCTTGGAGATCTATGAAAAAAAATATTGCTCTATACGAACCATGAATTTATTTCAGTCTGTGCTTGTTGGTAATTATATCTCAATGGTTCTCCACCAAACCAAAGTTGATTTTATTACATTGCATCATTCTTTAACAGTTTTATTAGCTGTCATGTTACTTTAATTCAGTCTTTTAGTGGTTGTACAAAGATGCGTCATAACTTTTCCAATTCCAGTAGAGCAATTTTTCTATTGCTATGACCTGGATACAAAATTATGGAGTTTAAATTATATGTCCATGATCTTGAGCATTTGAATCCCCAAATGTAGTCCTCTCAGAAATGTTGCCAGTGATACAAAACTTTATTTTAAACAAGAGCTTTGAATGGTGGAGACTGGGAAAGTGTATTTCACTAAAAACAATTATTATTGATGTAGTCAGAGCGTCTTATCAACTTTGCAACTGGTCAAACGGTCTGTTGTATTCTTTGGATTTCAGCGTGCATTTTCTGTGGATGAGCGGATTGCCTGGGGTCTGGTTGCAATTAAAGATTCAGTGTTTTCAGGAGAAACCTTAGAGGATTGGTATTCCCTTAGTGGAAAGCAAGGAGAAGACAAGGAAGGAATGATCAATTTGGTTTTTTCATACAGGGTAGGTTCATTTCAGTTTTTTGTGGTATGTTCATTTTTCTGTTTGTTTGCTTTCTAAAAATCTGCTTATAATTACTGTTTCTTCTAGGAAACAACATCATTTAAGAGACTTTTTTCCATACAGTGCTCTTTAGACTAAGAATTAAATTGGTGTGACAGCTATTATTATCATAAATTGTATGTTGTTTTTACTACAGTATTAATCTATGACAGTATTCAAAAAAAGCTGAACAAGTAGAAACCAGAAAAAGTTAAATGCCCAAATACTTGCAAATAATGATCTGGCATTCTTTTTCAACTTCTTTGTCAATGTTTCTTGTTGTTTACTTCTTTGCTTATCTCCTTCCCCTAGCAAACCATTATTTTAAGTATATTTGAAGCAAGTTTGTATACTATCAGCTAAAAACCTTTATTTACACATCATAATTGAGCCTCTCTTGACATGAATCTGTTGTTATGTTCATTTTAGCAAGTATCAGCTCCCCCACCACAAGCGATGATGTATCCTAGCATGCCAGTTACTAATGTACCAGTCATGATGGTGCCTCAGCCAGTTGTGCCAGGTACTCAAGTCCTTTATCCAGGAGGATATGGTCCTGGTCAGCCTGTTCCAACTGGTCCACAGCAACATCAACAGCAACCACATCAGCTTAATCAGCAGGATATAACAGGCTTAAAAGATATGTTCCCCAGCATGGAAGAGGGTGTTATTCGATCTGTGCTAGAGGCATGTAGGGGAGATGTTAATGCAGCAACAACTCATTTGTTGGGAATGACGTCAGACTCTTGAACTATGCAGATACTCAATGAACACACTGATGAGCTGGAGTATTGGTGATGAGTCCAAGTTTTAGATGAAATCTGAATAGCAGAAAATTTGGCAATTAGACCCAAAATCTAGTAAACAGCCTTCAAGGGAGAGTCTCAGTGTAAGAAATAGATAGGGATGTTCCCCAGAAATTTTGAGTTTTAGAAAACTCAAAGTAGGCCAATTGTTCCAGTTCTGTTCGACCCAAAAAGATAAAACTTAAGGGGTGAAATGGCAATTGGCTGAAAGCAGTAAATTCTTTCAAATGAAGTGCAACTCGAAAACTGTTTGCCATTGTTTTTCTTTTTTTATTGAGCTATCAGTAATGATATGATGGCAGCTGAATATATCAGTGTTTCATCCTGAACAACAAAAGCTGTAAGTGTGAACAAACTCTGTGATTTGAAGCCCTGAGTAAGCAAAATAGCATCCTTATTTCTTTCATATGAGAGACCCCCCTTGGGTTGAGGAATTTGTAGTCATCTTAATGTAAAGTTAAAGCAAAGACAGATGTTATCTCCAAAAATGCTCATTGTGGTCTCATGTGTGTGTCAATTCCAGATTAGCATAGGAATAATTTCCTTTCACTGATTCCCTTGCAAATCATTGAGAGTGTGGATTTATAGCAAAGAAAGATAGTGAATGTAAAGTGCTCCATCATCTGAACCTCCCATATTACACTAGTAATGAAAACTCCATACCTTTGGCTCATACTTAGTCTAAGATAAATGACACAAAAAAGTTTGACAAAAGACAAATCAATGATGCTTTTTAAAAAACACTTTTTTAAGATTTAAAGTTTCTTTTATTTGAATGTTGATAACTTCACTAGTTTTTTTGGAGAAAAGTCTGCTCTAACACACCACAACTAAGACTAAGTGCCTCAGAAACAAAACTCTGACTGATCAAACTTTAACATCAAGTGATGTCTACCGAAAAAAGTACTAGAAATATATTTAAAATCTCAACATAAATGCAATCAACAATATAATTTTTTTAAATAGTTGAAAATGGAACGCTCTTGTGATGAGGCATTGCTTGATAAGAGTAGTGCTTTTCTCTACTCTAGAAAAACAAATAATATTAGATGGTTGTGAAAAGTGATTATTGCAAAGAGGAATAACTCGTAAATATAGATCTGTGACCATTGATAGCATTATCAGTAGAAAAAGTTGCTAATCAAGAGAAAAAATGATGAAAAAAAAAAGAAGTACAGAATGATTTTGTCCCAATAGTCATTTAAATGATATGAAAAACATCCAATAATCTGGCTTGCTATATTCCACGAATTTTGCCTAATTGCATAAATTGGTTGGAAACAGCATGGGTGCATAGTGCTTGATTCTTTATTTTTGAGGGCCACGGGACCAATGGCACCAGTTATGTACATCATGTGTCATGCTCTTAAAGAGAAAAAGTTTGCAGGAAGGAGGTTGTAAACAGCCAATATTTTGGGAATTATTTGGCTACATATTGACATTTATTATATAGATTCTGATGAAATACCAGGATTTTTGCTTTTACTAAAAAATCATATCTTCATCGCACGCAGCGAAGATGCTGTTTTTATCTTCCACGTGTGAGGAGATTGGTGTCGCCATGGTTACTAACATACTATGATACTATGCTTTGAAAATGAATTTTTAAAAAAGGTGTCTTTTATGTAGGAATTTCATCAGTATCTATCAAATAAACAGAACATACATGGCCGCTTGGGGATACAAATTTTATCTTCTCGTGCTGAAAGTATCTCTCACTCGTGAGAAGTACTTTCAGCACTCGAAGATAAAATTCGTATCCTCACGCGCGGCGCGCGGCCATGTAATACCCTCTATATATATTTGCCCCACCTTGGGAGAAAAATGATCAGCTTTAATTAACCAAGGAAATAGTAGAGAAACTGCATCTTCTGTTACTTTCATGAAGAAAATCATAAAATTGTGCATAGGACGTCTTAAAATTGAATTCTGTACTACCATATAGTGAAGTGAAAGTCGTGTTTCTAATTTTGTTTTGCCTCTAAAATTCTATTTTGAGTTTCTTTCTTCTTTAAACTTTTAAAAAATGACCAATGTGGCATGAAATGCTAGTAACCTTGACTGGTCGTTGTAATAGTCAATCTTCAAGGTGATCATAACAGAATTTGCTATCTCCCTGATCTCCACAGGATACGTGTTACATGACAAGATTTCTTTCCAATGAGCAATGAGCTTTTTCCAAGTAGACTTGTCCCTCTTGTCCAAAGTCACGGGGCGAAGATCCTGGAAACGAGGTTAACATAATATTACGCCTCCGTTACCTCGCGAAGCTTTGTCACGCTATCTAAAAATCGCGAAAGTTACCTTCACTAACTACTGTTGGTTTCTTTTGTCATACATAGTCGTAGAATTCAAAGAAGATGACGTTTTATAGGAATGTAGTCTGGTTTGCCAAAGGTTTACGTGAATATACGAAGAACGGATATATTGCAGCGGAGAAATCGTTTGATCCGAAAGCATTAGATGTTGATGTTTCATCGCGAACGTTCATGATAACTGGCGCAAATAGTGGAATTGGAAAAGACACAGCAGCATTTTTAGCCAAAAAAGGAGCCACAGTACACATGGTTTGCCGCAGCGAAACTAGAGGTGAAGAAGCCCGAAAAGAGATCAGCGAATCGTCGGGAAACGATAAAGTAATTTTGCACATCCTTGATATGTCCAGGCCCAGAATGGTGTGGGAATTCGTGGAGAAGTTTTCATCCGCCAATGAAGCTCTTCACGTCCTTATAAACAATGCTGGTTGTATGGTGAACACAAGAGAAGTCGATGAAGATGGTCTGGAGAAGAACTTTGCCACTAATACTTTGGGAACGTACATTTTGACATCTGGTCTCATGCCTTTGCTCCTCAAAAACGAAGCTCCGAGAGTCATTACAGTTTCGTCAGGTTGGTTAGAATTTATGTAGCTGCACTTTATATAAAAGAGAGGTTTACGAGTGAAAATATCTCAAAATTTCGCTTATTGCACTGTGAGCAAATTTTGATTTATTCCAAACTTTACACGTCGCACATTACGTAATCACCCAGTGGAAATAAGTCAATTTTTTCGTAAGAGCTCGAATGCACCTTGAACTTTGTCTTGTGATTTCAATGTAAATAGGCTGAAGCATTTGGAGGACACGAAATGTTTTCCTATGTAGGAATAATCAGGCCGTCTGTTAAATTCTCATTTTGATGATCGACCTTTGTTTATCATCCAATGCCTCCTTGGACTATCTACTAAGGAGAGGGAGGGGAGGAGAGGGGAGGGGAGAGAGGGAGGGGCGGTGAGAGATCCTAGCATTTCTAACTAAGCCTTTAAAATTAGCTGAACAAGGCGAAATCGTGTTATTGTTTCTTCAATAGATAACTTATTTATTATGGAATATCAGGAGTGTCTTTTCAAGTTTTAAATAGAGTTACACAGAGACAAATGACTCTTCAAAGTGGGCTAAGATTTGAAGATATAGCATAGAGCAATGCCACTCCAATCAGACATTCACTTTGAGATCTGTATCATTAATTCTTGGAACTGCTATCTCACAAACTGCTTCTAACAAGCTATATGGGTTTATTTCATTTTTTGCAGGAGGTATGCTGGTTATGAAACTTGATATAAAAGATCTGCAGTTTGAAAAGATGAACCCATTTGATGGAACCATGGCATATGCACAAAACAAACGGCAGCAAGTTATCATGACTGAAAAATGGGCAGAAAAACACAACGAAATTTTGTTCTCTTCCATGCATCCAGGTAAGTTGTTGTGCAAATATAAGAAAAGCAAAATGCATTTGACACACTTGTACTGCCTATTGTGAGTGCTATTGTTCTTGAAGTTGAATAGTGGTCAATGCAATAGCTGAGGTGGAAAGAATTGTGATTGTGCTGGAGTCTGAGTTGCAAGGTTTAAGCTTTTTGCTGTATTGTTCTTCTATTAACAAGATAGTTAATTTTCAGTGTCTTGCCTTGCATGAGCAAGAGTGTAGATTAACATCACCGTATCCTTAGGAAAATGTTGTGGTAAACTGTGCCAGCATGGGCCATAGTTGCTTAATCTCATTAAAACTGGTAAAGGCCACAGAGACTTCACCCTTTGCAAACTGCTTTTACTTTCGCATAACATACACATTCCTTCCATTTATTATTTTTTCTTGGTTAATACTTCTCAGGTATTATTTTTGATCAGAGGAAACCTTTAAATTCTTTTTATAACAGAGTCCAATTACACTTTTTTGTGGTGATACAGTAGTTAACTGACACCACCATGATTGCACACTGATGTGACAAATGGACAACTGCAAAAACAATTAAAACTGCGCCAGTTCATGTAAGGCAATCATTATATTTCAGGTTGGGCAGATACTCCAGCAGTGCAGACATCAATGCCAGGTTTCCATCGCAAAATGAAGGACCGTCTGCGTACTTGTGCTCAGGGTGCTGACACAATCATTTGGCTGTCTGTTGCTGATATGTCAAAGGAGCCCCGTGGTGCCTTCTATCAAGATAGAAAACCAGTTTCAACTCATTTACCTTTGGCATGGTCAAAGGCTTCTGATGGTGACAAAAATGAGCTGATGACCAACCTGGAAGATTTGGCTTCCAAGTTCAAGCCTGATTCATCAGCCAACTGATATTATTATTAGGAAGATAAGCAAGGGTGTAACCATGCTGCCATCTCATTTGCTTACCACTCATTTGCAATGCTGCTAGTAGGAACAAGGATGAAAGGTTGTTTCCTTTCTTTGATTGAGATTGTGGAAGTTGTTATGTAGTCAAGAGTTACTGATCCAGATGAACATATCTACAAATTGTAGGATCTTGAAATGTGAATTCAGTGTGGTTATTTTTCATTATAAAAATAGTTATCTTTTAATGTTGAAGAGCCAGGGCAAAGAGCCATGATATATTGATTTCAGCTTTAAATATAACAATTGGACTAGTGCTATTTACACAAAGCAAAAATGAGATAAATTTAAGAGATAAAACAAGTATCATAACAATTTGAGAGTTAACAATTTTCAACCCATTTTTCTTTACATGGTATTTGATACCACAAAAAGGTGTAATATGTGTGAACTCTCAGTATGAAAGGCTAATCCTGTTGCAAAACCAGGGGGAGAGAGCAGGTACCTCACATATGCAGGTCTCTAATGAACATTTTAAAGTGTGAAGGGTAGCATCTCCACCACTTTGGTCTTTGATAGAGTACTTTGACCAACCACAGGATTAACTAGTTTTGAATTTCTTTAAGTTAGTGCCCATGATAACTGGATGGTTGCTGTTTGAATCTTATTTTTCCTGTCCAGTATTTACTGCCCTTTGACTCCAGGATTTAGGAAATTTTGAAAACTGTTAGTCTCACCCTGATATTAATTGACCTCTCTAAAGCCATTGCTAATAAAATGCATCACAACCCAGACAACAAATGATTAACCCATCAATTAGAAAGATTATATTTTATTAGTCTTCAGCCCTGATTTTTGCCACCCAACTCTGGAATATTCCAAACAACTCTTTATAAACACAAAGCCTTATATTTAGTTCCAATGCTTTTAATGGCATTGAATGATGGATGTTTTTGTGATTTATACATTACTGCTACTTGAAATCTTAACACTATAAAATTCCTAGAACATCTACGATTCCTACGATGGTTTGTTCTTATATCTACCTTGTCAAGAAATGAACTGAACTTATTTAATTTTCTAACTGCACGAAATATGTTTGTTTCAAAACCTTGAGGCAAGGTTACAGTTTAAATCATTTTTCAACCTCTTAAAGGAATAATTTGTCATTTTTTCAAGGTACTTCGACTATATGACTGTTTTTGCTCATTTTCTTTTCAAATGGAAAATGACCTTGAATTCTTCCTTTAAAAGCAGATGGGAGGTCTTGTTTAAAAAAATGCATTTATTTCTCCTGGTAATGATAGGGATCTGCTGTTCCTTCATATTCTTCATCTGAACTGTAATGGACTGACTCTTAGGCCGATGGCATCTTTTCCAACCTCAGCAACCTACAAGAAAAAAAGAAAAATGAGTAAAATTTGAACCCACTGATCACAAAAATCTTTGGATTAGATCTTCATTCTCCTCACTCATTGCAAGCACTCTACAGTCTGTGAGACAGACATCTGATTCCTCCTTCCCCAAACCTTACCCTACAAAAACTGAGAGAACATTTGTGCAGGGATGACAAGCCTTGGTATGTTTTGAATATCCCCTTCATTTAATAAACAAACAGCCAAGGTAAGCTGTAAACCTTACCTTACAGACATTGCAAATTGTTCCTTTGTACTCAGGCAAATAGGAAGCTTGACAAAGAGGGCACTTCTCTTGTGGTTTTCCCCTATGATGACAAAAAAGATCCAACAATAAACACCACTCAGCATGTGTGCAAGCCACACCCAGTCTGAATAACAGTTACAAAACTAATGCACCATGGGGGGCAGGAAATCAGAGGTTACTAACAAAGAAAGCTATATTGCTTTGTTTAAAAAATGATCACATGGAGAAGAAGTTCCACTTAAGGACACCATAAACTGCCAACCTGTAGAGAGGCTTGTAAGATACTCCACAGATGGTGAAAGGGTTATGCTCATCATATTGAAGAACGTGTGCATCAGTAGGATTCTTGTCACAGGCTTGGAGGATCTTGCGAATCTAACAAATGAAATCATACCATCATACCATCATATCATTGGTAAACACATTTGAAAGCTTGCTTCAAATTAGAAAAAGTGATGAAGTAGTGATCATTTCCAAACCTGGGTAGCCACATCTGGACGTGGTCCTAGTTCCAACAGGCGACGAGCAAAGGACGCAGCTGTTTTGAAATTCTTTAACTGTAAACAAACCGTAACATTAACATATGAAGGCAGAAAGAGTACCCATGAATAATTTGATTGTATGTCAAAGAGTTGCATGGTCTCACCTTAAAGAAAAGATTGACAGCAGTCCTAAGAGTAAGTATCTGATGTACTGGCTGGAGGTTGCAGTGAGTGAAATATGCTGCCATCTACAATAACACAAACACTTGCAGTAAGCTTCTGATGACTAAAATGAACTTTGTTGTCCTTTCCAGGAGGTTATATTACATAAGGATGAATAAGCCATAACAAAAAACCAACCTCACAAAGCCGTTTCTGCTCTTCAAGGGTGGACTGCGGAAAGAAAGAACACCCTTAGAGTAATGTAATGGAATTGACCACTCTAAACATATTATGACTAGAAGAAATGATCCCAAAAAAAAGCTTCTTGTTCACCTTAGGTAATTCCTTTCTTTTCACTTCCATTTGCAGTCCAACAATGTATTCTCGACATATTCCCAACAGCTGCTGTGCCTCACTTATTTCCTGCTTACTGTCTACAACCAGCAGAGTAACACTCAAGAGAATGGCTTGAAGTTTATAGATTGCTTCCTGAAACTTGCCTCCTGTTGTCAACTGGTAAGCAGCCTGTTCAGAAAGTGAAAAAAAAGAAAAAAACAATATTGGTGGTACACCAGAGCCAGGAAGACTTGAGAAGTTTTCACTGTTATTGAAAATAGAACATACTCTTCCAGTATCTCCCTTCCCTGAAGAAGAGGATCAGCCTAACAAAACTTAAAGCATGCTCACATACTACACAGAAGAAGCATTTAGTAACCTAGCTAATTATACCTAAAGAAGCAAGGATGTAAAATAGCTAAGTTATGCTATGTAGCAATGCTAACGAAGTCACTGTGGGTAGCCCTCACCTGTAAACGTTGTACAAGCATATTCAGTTTCAATCCCACAGCAGGAAGGCCACCTTTAGCTCCAGCATCTCTCCTACAAAACCAAATAAGATTATCAATAATGGCCTCAAAGACGCATTATATGTACAGGAGGATCTGTATATACTCTTCTCTGGTTTCACACATCTACATAAACAGACAAAATCGACAGGGAAACATTTCCTCATTTCTAAAACTAAAGGAAATGAGCACAATTTACTTCTGGTATGTGTTAAAATAAAATAAAATAATCTTTAATAGAGTTCAATTCTCAACAGAGCTCAGTCCAAAGCAAACAGCTCACCAGTTTCTGTGAGGATGCCCCAGCAATGGTGGCCCTCCAGGCATGCCTGGAAGTGCAGTTCTTCCACGACCAAAGGCCAGCATAAACAGTGGCTTGTATGGTTCAAACACGACTACACCTACTTGGTCATGAAGAAGCTGTGCACACAGAAATTGGAAAAAAAAAATCAAGAAAAATCTCTCATTAAGGAGTGCATAGAGGTCAGTAAAAGCTGGTTTGGATGAAGCAGAGTTAAGCTTCTTGCAAATTCTTAGCTTTAATTTTTAAAATCATGATTACACCTCCACATCCATTTTGAAAAAGATGATGGTCACATAATTGAGCCTCTTAGTATAGTCTTAAATGAATGTTCTGAAGAATAACTCAGTAGTGGGTCTAACATGTAGGAAAAAAAAAGGCTCAGGCTGAGAATGAAAAGAATTTACATTTATGCTGCTTCTTCAATAAATCAATAAATTTGAGCCCTTTCTACCAACTGTACAAAGAATACTACATGGAAAAGGTATAATGTTGAAGCCAGAAGACCAAGCATGTTATGAAAAAACAAACCAGGTGAGTGAGAAGACTCTCAGTTCATCTAGCGAGTCAAGGAACTTGCACCAGCCAATTATGATCAAACTGGCAACACCATGGACTCGCAGCAATTAACTGAATTATAACACACAACATAAAATTTCCTTTATTTTTACTGGTATAACAGTCCATGGTGTGTGAGAAAATTTTCAAAGAAAAAAACATGATTATACTACTTACCCTCATAGCACTTTCAAATGACCCAGCCAGGACATGATCAACAGCAAGTTGGGAGTTAGTGCACCACACCTGTAGGAAATAACCACCAAGCTTTCAAAAAGTCATTTTCAAGTTAATCATAAAATAAATTGCATGTATTTGGTAATTAGCAAATTACTTTTATATATCTTTTTACATCACTAAAAATCTGTTCAGCAACAATCTGACTTAGATAAAAGGCCTGATTTTACAATATCACCAAAATTATGCTAGTCAAGAGTGTTCTGAAATTACCTGGGACTGGCTAGTTCCCTTGACAGGAGGCACAAAGTAACCTTCATCTCCTGCACCAGACACAGGACCAACATCCTGTGAAATAAATGCAACAAAACATGACCATATTTTATCTTAGTTTAGTTACATTTCACAATAAACATAATAAAGAGCTGAAGGCAGGACTTGGTTAAAACTTACCAAATCAGGTGGAAGCACCAAATCTTCATCTCCAACATCCCAGCCACCTTCTTCATCTCCCCCAAGGATGTCACCATCAGGGCCTTCCTCACCAAATCCTCCTTCTAATATGATAAAATGTATTTACATATGATCAGGATGGAGGATCATAGCTGGCACATTTGACTATGAATAACTCCCAAATAAAGTACAATGTACCTTCATCAATCACAAGCGCTGCATCATCTCCCCAGCCATCTCCAGCACCTTCATCCAGATCTGCAGCCACCATAGCTGCAGCTCCACCACCAGCTATCAGTCAAAGTTAATTTATGTTCAATTAGCATTTTCATCTTTACATATTAAACACAGAACTAAAGAGCTCTACATAATGTATAAACATCCATGTGGTTCTAATTTTACCTTTGGCAGCCATGGCTCCTTCAAAGAAAGTCTTTGCCACAGTAAGTAAGGGCCAGTTACCCTCATTCTGAAGGATTGGTGCTGGTGGTTGTAATAACTTGGCATTTGGGTTCACAGCTGGAAGCTAAATAAAAAGTGTGAATGAAATTTGGTTCTGAGATCATAAATCACTGATAGTACAGAATTTTTTTTCTATAAATAGTTTACTGGTAGTGCCTGTATATTGCCATACTTTGCTAACTTCAACTCAGGTAACTCAAACTTCTTCTTTCGTTGGAGAACATTTTTCATTAATTCAGTAAAAGTTACATAAATCCCCAATCATCTTGAACTTGTTTCATTCTCTTTTGCAGGGATTTAATATATGGTGGCCTTCATTGTACAACCAAGGTGGCTTCAACATGCATTTCTCTTAAGTCTTAAGCATAGAAATAAGAAACTCAGAATTGTTGAAATATATCAAATTCTACATACTGTCTCTGGATCAAGATCAAAGGTATCTTTTATTTCCTGACATTCTTCAGCAAGCCCATGAGTAGCAGCTGTCAAGTATGCCAAGGATCCTTTGAGAAGAGTCCAAATAAAGAAAATAACATTAAATGGCAGTAATTATTTACCTTTACATTGACAAAATAATCAGGTGTCCCATTACAGTCCCAGAAATATCATTACCAATATCCTCATCTTGCAAACAGGCTTGTCATTCACTATTTATCCAGTCATTTTTCCTGGGACACTGAAGACCTCATTTCAGCCAGAAAACTGATTATAAAAACACATTTAGCCATTTAATTTACCTTGACCAAGACTCTTCAGGATCTTGATTCTCTCCTCCACATCACCAGTGTACAATGCATTGTGGTATTGGCCGCTCATGTCCTTACGGATTTCAGCTACATGCAAAACCAAAAATCAGTTAATTCACAAATAGAATCCATTTATAAATTGGTGCACTACAAAGCAACAAACAGCATGTCAAACTCAGAAAGCACACCCACCAATTTTGGTCATCTTGGCAAGTTTCTCAAGGTTGCCAGTGATAAGATAAAGAAAAGACAACTTGTCAAAGTTCTTTGTTCTCTGATATGCCATTTCTACTACCTGTTGAATAAAATGCAAAAGAAAATTAATGAAAACAACTGAAGTATAACATCATAATTTTCATTGACACAGCCATATACAAAGCCCTAAGCATTCCAAAGAAACCAGTCTCATCCTGTGCATTAAGTATAGACTACTCTATTCATTAAGGAAGATTAAAATATTAAAGCAAGAGGCCCCAGTGTGATAAAACCAGCAAAGCAAGCCAAGAAAGTCTAATCAGTCTATCATGATCAAACTGGAAACAGCAGTGACTCATATATGAACTTGTTATGATGACAATTAAAACTTGCCAATCCACATTGAGCCTGGACACCAGTTTCTTAGATTTAAGACGCTAACATAGTGGAACTAACTAAAGAGCAACGCATGCCTTCAGTGCAACCTAGATTACTGTACAAGAAACTAAGACACACATGTTCTGTGACACATACCTGGTGGTTTCCTTGTGTCAGAGCAGCAGCTCCTAATCGATCCCAACACACCTTGTCATCAAGGCTTCTAGCTGCCTCCAGGGCTACCTGTGAGTAAAAATCACAAAAAATCTCTTACATTTCAGGCACAATTGTAATTTTTTTAATAGTATTCTATATGTACATTGCACATAAATCAGCAGCAGTGCATATTAGTAGTAAGAGAGACAGAGGGCAAGGCTCAGTGAACTTCCAAAGCTAGGGAACAGTATTATTCTTTTTAAGACTGCAGACATGAATGTTTGTAATCTGTTACCAACCTGTTACCTGGTTTTGTAAACTTGACCCAACTAAATCATAAGGTTAAAAAATCTCTACAACAGAATGCACAGCCACACTTAATATCCCCCTTGTATAACATACCTCAATGTTACCACATTCTAAGGCCAGTCCAAATCTGGTCTTTTCATCTTTGACAAAATGTAAAGCAACCTGCATTAAAAAAAAAAAATTGTACTGAGTCTGTCAGCCATTAACAAACCATTATAAAATGCCCCATGCCAGACTGGCGATTGATTTTGAGAAGGAAATTAAAGTTTCTTACCTCAGGATAACCTTTCTTTTGAAGGTAAGAAATAATAGACTGTCCCACCAGTTTGGCATTTCGCACCATGTGTAGAACCTATGGAAAGAATAGACAGAAAACTAACTTACAGAGGGTATTTACATGAAACCAGAACGTTGCATGTTGAAAAGTAATCATAAGTGTGTCCAAAACCAGTCCAGCCTACCTCATCATACTTGCGATTGATCAAAGCCAATTTAAACTTGAACTCTGTAGGGTCAATTCCAAGAACTCTGGTTTTACACTCACGATCAAGACAGTACACACTGCTCCCCTAGAAAATAAATATAAATAAGAATAGGTTAAAGTACTATTAACTAACATCAGTTCTTTTCTAATAGTACATAACTAATCTGTATAAGACATATATTTCTAAAAACCACAGACTGCAACAATTAAAATACCTAACATGAATACCACTTCTAAGACACATTCAAATGCTGAGGAACCCACCTTGATTCTTGTGATATAGATGGGAAGGTCAAGTGTACGAATGATACCATGGTCACTAGAATATGAGAAAGTATCAGACAACTATTGCAATGATGCAAATAATGATCTCTAAATTGCAACTAACACTGGTTGGATTTCCTCCCTATGAAGTGACAAATTCTACGCTTGGCTCAAAAAAAATAGAAATAATAAAAAAGATCCCATTATCTGGGACAAGCAGCTTTTCTTTTCCACTTGCCTTCACTTAGGCCCCCTCAAAACAAAAGATAAACAAAAATGTTTTGTCTTACTTGCCTACATCTGTTAGAACTGACACATTTACTCAAATCTAAACTTATGCAAGAAAAGACTGGTCCCATTAAAGAATGGGTCACCCCAATGGAAAACAAGCTATAGGATACTACAGATTAGTAGTTTTGTTTCCATACTAATACACATGTACATGTGTGCGTTGTAGAACAATCATTAGATTGTGTTAACAGAAGGGAGGAACCCAGATTAAAGTACAATACAAAACTTAGGTGATTTCAAATCTGTTAAAGACAAAAAAATAATAGTCATAGTTACTGTAATAGGTAATTGTATGTTTCATTTGTACAAATGAGCTACCCATCGAGGTAAAGTGACTGCCAACATGTACTGTAGAGCTGGCTCTTAACTATACAAAATAACAAACAGGCACCCAAATTGCATACTTACCCATTTATTAGTGCATATTTGATGTGGTTACTTGTGGTATAGACAAAAACACCATTTTCTTCCCATGCCCCGCTCTTCACACGGATGTTTTCATGGATAGTGCAAAGACACTCCAGTTTTCTATTACAAATTGCAACAACTGGGAACACAATAAAATGAGAAAATTTTAAAAAATTCATTGAAAGTTGCAATCATACATGTTCTGTTGACCCTTTTAAGTTACTGGCATGATGTTAAAGATAAATTCAGACTCACCGTGTTTTCCTAACAAGGCCACATGAGCCATATCAGCTGACCAGACCACATATCGCACCTTATTCACTTTGACAGAAGCCAAGGACCTGCCAAAAGAGAGAAATCAAAGATGAAAATATGAAGTATATTCTTTGTTTCAGTAGGATTCCAGACACCAAAACCACGCCTGCCCTTGGAGGCAGAAAGTTCATCAGGTTTTGGTAACACAAACTGATCACAACAATGGGTGGGATACATTTGATTCACAAGTCATACTACATGTACATGTATTTCCAAGAAAGTATAATTACTACAAGTGTATTTCTAAAAATACTGTACCTCTTCTGCTGCACATCAAACAAGGTGACAGAGTCAGTGTCCCTTAATAGCAAACTGCCAGTGCCAGCATAGAAGATCATATCACAAGCAGGAGTTTGGACCTTCTTTGTTACTTCATTCTTCAGGTTTTTGATCAATAGCTGGTCAAGGAAACAAATTTATGTCAATGAAAAGTATGTCACAGAGCATATGACTTCCTAATTTCAGGGTTTTGAATCTTCCTGCAGATCCAGTTTTCTGTGCTGCAGGCTACTGATAAATGCATAATAGTTTTCTCTAATTCTTACAGTATGTGTTCTGTCCAAGACAGCAAATCTATTGCGTGCCACCCACACTGCAGTCAATCCTGATGCTCTTTTGCCCTCAGATACTAAATTGAAAAAAAAAAAGCACATTATCAACAGTCAGTTATAAAATTGTGGGGAGTAAGATTTTAGCTATTTGCTATATCTAATGCAGATCATACATCCAAATTAAAAGAAATCTGAAAAAATGAAAATGTTACTTGCATACCTTCTGGGTTGCTACTGTCAATATCCTTGGGAACTGCATGCAGCTCATAAACGCAGTTCTCTGGATTGCTTGCATTCTAACATGAAAGAAAGTAAACAAATTATTTCACACTTGTTGGTGAACTGTCAAACTCTGTTTTCCAAAGGCATTTCTCACAACCCGCTCACTCAACAATGTAAATTTCACGGTTCTTTGTTTTAAACATGCACATTTCAATTAAATTCTCAATTTTAGGTAAAAAAAAGAAAAAGCATATGCAGATGTTAAGAATATTCACCTGCATAACATTTGCATTCCAGTCATGTAAAATGAAATTGTTTCCTTGGGTAACCCCTTGTGAGCAAAACAAAGACACTTCTTCCCACAGATAAAATATTTAATAGATGCAACACTTTTACCATGCACATGACTATTCATACTGATGGAAAACTTACTGTGCAGATAAGAACGCAGTTTTCTGCAGGATTGTATGACATGCTATACACAGGAGTGCGAGACGAGTTCCTAGAATTGTAAAAATATATCAGTGTGCATAAAAAGTAATATGTACAACAAACAAAATACAACCATGTAGGTCCAGTTAAGCAAAATTGAAAATGGTTTGTACCTCCTGAACTGCATGACTGGCACATCTTTAGAGGTTCCAAATTCATACATCCTCAGATATCTCTCCTACAAAATAATAACTTTCTTAATAACATAGAAAAATCTTAAGCTTAGGAGTGGATATCCATGTAATGAAAAAGGACAGATCTTTTTTACCTCAGCAACTTCACTTAAAGGACTGGCAATGGCATAACCATGCATAAATATTTATTCCTGTTACTGTACTTGTAAGTGTCCAGCATACTGAAGGTAAAATGTTTTCTAATTTGTTTGTTTCTTTCTTCTCTGTTCTCTTTTGACCCACCTTTGTATAATACAGAATGTTTCCATGAACTGCATAAGCTGGCCTCTCCCTCTCTAACTTAAAGACTATCATTCCACTATCATGGCCTGGAAGGAAACGAACAGCTCTCAATCATAAAGAACACTGTAAGTACCCCACGGTAGATGTGCAGATGAATTTCTCTGCCATACAAGGTACTTTTTATGCACTTACCCACTGAGCAAAGCCTTTGCAAGCCCACATTCCAATCTAATCCCAAAGGGCAAGCTCTATTTCATTCATATTATCTACTTTAGTACAATGAAAAGAAAATGTTGGGGAAATACTCTCTGCTAAAACACAAGTGACAGAACCATACCTGCAGCAAATAGATTGAGTGTGGGATGAGCAGCTGCTACCCAGAACCTGTCATGCTCTCTCCTGAATGTTTGAACTCCAGTTCTAAAAATGTAAAAGTGAACTCAGTCTAATCATAATAAATATACTTGACACATGCAAAATGATCCAGATTTTTTGCAGGTCTCACTACCTAGTATACATGTGAGAACATCATGCCACTACATCTCATCTTAAGATGAACTTCTCACCTCTTTGACATGTCCCAAACTCTGATGCTCTTGTCTTCTGAATTGCCTGTGAAAAGACGAGGAGAAATTTTTTAAGAGTAATAGCACTAAGAGAAAGCAGGAGACAACTGTACGCTCACAACATATAGTGCATGCTGACTTAAACCTAACATTGTTTCAAAAGGAGTACAGTTTTCAATTAAATTGACTTTTTCGCTCCTATTTTGCTGCATCAATCATTTTGCAGTTCAAATTTTAATTTTCTTGGTTTTAAATCTTACAAACAGTTTAATTTAATGTTTCCTTTATTTCAGACTATTACTGTATGACAAATATAAGACAAAAGGAAAAAAACCCCAATTTTTTTGAGCAATTTGACACCATGAGAACATTTGTACTTCACCATATAACAGTACTTCAACTACTGTAAAAAAACATTTTTAACAACTGTACAGGACATCAATATTTAGTTAGCATACTTACTCAAAATCAGCTCTTGCCTAGGGTGGAACATTACACATGATACATTATTGTAGTGTCCTCGGCATGTATCTACTTCCCAGGCCTTGGAGTCTAGAATTAACAAAAAATAAAATATCTCGTAACACTGATCAACACATGGCTAAATAACACTCCTTGGAATGATTATTTTCATAATTGACAACTACAATTTACATAGTGCAAATTACATGAATGTTTGATCAAATCTGAGTATTTGAAATGTTTTACTAGAGAACAAAACAAACTTTAATACCATTCATTCTCCACAGTTTGACTTGTCTGTCATCAGCTCCAGACACAATAAGTGGCATGGTGGGATGGAAAGAAACCCAGTTGACACCACGATCATGACCCTAAGTACAGAGCACAATGAGACCTTTAATTTGACAAGAGTACAGGAATATCAGCCCTCCCCTTTCCTCTGCTATTTGACAAACTGATAATTCCAAACAATGGCTCAAGATTGACAAGATTACTGTCCCTTAAAATGTGGTAATTCAAATACAGTTACAGTGTGTCTGTTTCATGAACTTTCTGGAATCAGTCTCGACCAGACTCACCAGAAGGAAAACCCCCCTGGCATTTTATTGTACAACAAACCAGTGCAACAGGTACGGTGGAAGCTCCCCTATATTGAAAAAGATTCATTCCCATGGGCTGACAATACACATACATGTCTAACAGGATCTTAAGTTATCTCTTTAGACCCCTTGCACAGCTACACATAGGAAAGGTTTTCAAAGAAGGCATATTAGCATATTCTGTTCAGTGGTTCCTTCTGTTTTTTTATTCATGGAGATACCTCCCTTTCCCAATTCTTAAAATGATCCTCTTAGCAACTAGTAATCTTTACTAACAACTTCCAAACAGCTTTTTTTTTCCATGTATTATAAATGGTGCTCAATTGCCTTATAATAAACAAATTACCTTTCCAGAGTAAGTTCCGATAATCTGAAACTTTACATGTACAATACAGGCATGGAAATCTGATTAGTTTGTACATATCCACATACCTCGAGTACATGTTTAACAATAGCATCTGACTGTCCAAATAGATCTGTGTGGCCAGGAGTTTTTAAGTGCTCTTCTAGTCCACTTGCTCCAGGTGCACAGGTTTTCTTTCTAAGGCCTTAAATTTTAAAGTTGACAACTTGATGAGCTTGTAAAAAAAGTAATTGCAGTTGTCGTGATGATCAAATCAGAACCCTTTTTTATAAGATTCCCTTCTGTTCTATCAAGAGAAGAATGACAAGACTTTTAATCTGATACCAAAAATTGTGTAGGGATTCCCTCTCTCCTTACTTTTTTATCATACTACACCAATACAGGCAATTAAAAAAAGGACCAGTAATAACAACAGTTCCCACCTGAAATATCCCAGACTCTTACTGTTTGGTCAAGCGAAGCAGAAACAACCAAGTCTTCTGCAGGATGAAACTGAGCACACATCACATAGTGATTATGTCCTGTGAGAACACTGTAGGAGAAAATGATTATCAATTCCATTATTTATTTTTTATTGTATTTTATTAATTTTGTCCTGTACATCATATATCTACATACAGAACACTAAATATAATACTAGCACAGTGCAGCAACAAACATGAGGACAAAATGATTCATATTATGACCTTTTATCAATTTTCATTGTTTCATTGGATGAAGGAAAATTTGTTCTGGAGAATATAAAAGCAATTATTAAAATATGATTGATGCACCTTAAAATACCAAACATTATATCTTTTTCAAAAAATCAATTTCATCATTGGATAAAAGGAGAAGTAATGATGAAAAAAATCAACAAGAATAACATGGCCCTACTGATAATTATCATAAAATGTCACTACTGTGTTAAGGCCAAAAAAGTAAGTACCAGATACAAGTGCGCGACTGCCAATTCCAGATGCGAATTGTTTGATCATCAGAAGCACTGATTATCCATGGATATTCCTGTCAATTAAGATACATGTTCACATAAAAAGAGTGTTGGACATTGTGAAAAAAATATTAACATTAACCAACAAAATGACAAAAACATGTACTGGTCCCTGAATCTATTAGACCAAAAAGCAAAAAAATTTAACTGTAACAATATCAACCCTGATTTACAATGCTTAATGGTATAAATAAAACTACTAAACTAGAATGATACATATAATATTAAAGGAGCACCATGCCAAAGTTGTACACTTCTTAATATCATGCATTGCTTACATGGTGATAAAAAGTTGTTCGGATGTAATCCAAGTGGCCCAACAGAGTGAACAGACATTTCTTCTGTTTGTAGTTCCACACCTAATTCAAGAAAAACAATGATTACTTTCTGTTTTCTGTGTTGAAGAAAATGCTCATAGTCATCTGTGAGAAAACAAACTTTGATATTGACCCTGTCTCACAAATCTAAACATTAATACCCTGTACCCTGTATATGAATTTAGCTATCAATACAAGAATCCAAGATCAAATTTACTTTCAAATGCCATACCATTATGACTCACTTCAGTGCCTGGGGTGTTTACTTACTTTTGGTACCTCTAGGAAGGGTGCTTATTCAAAAAGGGATAAGGCACTTATTTCTCTTTTGAAAACAGCAGAATATACAAAACAAAGCTTTGATATATATTTTAAAGGAAACTACAGTAGAAACTGTAAAAGTAACATATGTCCAGTGAACAATTGCATGATAATGATGGGATTGTACTCTAGCAGTGTTATCACTGACACAGAATAGGACAGTTACTCATTGCAGGATGACTCGGAAACCAAAATCTATTCCTATTTATTTCTGATTCCAAGTAAACTCCAACTCACTACAATGTACATACACCCCCTCTAAGCCACATTCAAACAATGGAGGTTAATTCAAAGATGTGATCACATAGATCAATGAGACACAAAAGACATACCTTTATCTTATAATCATCTCCTCCAGAAACAAACAAAGGTTGGTTGGTATGAAAATTGATTCCTCTTACTGGACCTAGAAAAAAGAACAGGGTACTACATCTTGACCAAATAATATACAAGATATGGCAAATTATTGTGGTTAAAATGGTGTTTCAAAATACTTTAAGTTTTGATTCATCCATATAATGATTCATTCCTTTGTTTCACACTAGAAAAATGAATAGCAGGCAAGGAAAAATTTACATAAAATCTGTTTTGGAAAAACTAAGACCTAACTACAATAGAACCAAAGCATGGTGAAAATAGTTAAAACATATTGTAAATTGAACATAATTAAGTCAATAGCAATTAAGATCTTGAGCTTTTTTAGGTGTTATTTTCTGTCATTATATAAACAAGAAACACCACCACTAGGATTAGTTCATCCTTTGATTTAATTGTCTATTACATGCATTACAAGACTTAGGACATGCTTAGGATGCATCTTGAAACACTATGTTCTCACCATCATGCTCATCAAATCTCTCCAGCAATGTGCACATTCGGTAGTCCCACAACTGTATAACACCATTATGCAGACTAGCAAGAACCCATGGTCTCTTGGGGTGGAAGGCAATGCCTAAATAATGGAAGACAAAGGCAGAAGTCAATATTACATGGAATTCTAATGTCTTCTAACAGTGATATAGTGCGCCACTGTCTATCTCAGTTCTTGGAATTTTCGCAAAGTTCAGGTGACCATAAGCTAATTTTACCACTAAAACAATTTTTGGAAACAGTGGAGTCTAAAGTAGAACCTACAAAAGTAGTAAACAATCAAGTTTTCATGCAGCACTAGTCTAGAGTAAGCTTTCCCAAATATCACTAGGGCAAATTTCAAATGAGTATCAAAAGTAAATTGGCATTTCTATGGTTTTGTTTTCATTCACTCTGTGGTAGGTCTAAAAACTTGCACACCTTCTCAACCAATCATATTGAATACTACAACCAATTAGAACCTGGTCACTTGCATTTTCCCATGTTTTATGCAGTTTTCTTGATTTTACTTGGCTTCTCACATTATTTTCCATCGTTCTGATTGGCCCTTGTGATTGAATGGTTTGAGTTTTTTAACTGTCCGTCAAAATTCGCTCCATTACTGACAAATGATCACTTTATTGAATCACAAAATACAGTGACTAAAACTTTCAAAATCAGTGGTCAGGTTTTACAGAATTTTTCCCTCTGAACATGCGACTTTCAACAGACCAATAAGTTAACAATTATATTAAATTAACAATACACTACATTCAACAAACTTCCAAAAACAAAGAATTATTCGATCTTAGAACCAATCGATCGTCTGATTCTTGAAAAGAAGCCATGAACAAGAGATTTTCCACGGATAACCACGGTAGATTAAAGTTTATTTAGTAGATTAAGATGAAAAGGGATCAAAATAATTTTTTTGAAAAACATTCATGTGAAGGCAGTCGTAATTCTGTACAAGGAGTCATGCATACCGTGAACACGAAATAATAGAGCGACTTCCTTACCTTTAACTCTCGCCGATTTTGTTTCAAATTTCGTAAGCATGGTAAAAAATAATTTACCAAACCTTTCAAGAGGCTAATAATAAATGATCAAAAACACCGCTAAGGCTTGCACTCGCCAGGACCGCCAGAATACGATGAAAATTGGTGGAAAACTTGTAGAGTTCTACCAGTGCGAACAATATGGCGGTCGCCACGTCACTTCAGACATGTGTGAGTACCTCGATTTCATGTAAGAGATTTGCTCCTCCTACCCCTCCCTCAAAGAAATCGTTCAAGTCGGCCCCAGTTTTAAAATCATGGCACGCGACCTTCCTCTCTCTCTTTCCTCTATACGACCGCCATCGCGGTTTAGATCGGTGTACAATCCGCCGAAATTGACAAGAAAAGCGATACATCATGGCTGAACAATTAGTTCTTAAGGGAACATTAAAGGGACACAATGGCTGGGTAACACAGATAGCCACCAATCCTCAGATCCCAGACAAGATTTTATCCGGTTCTCGGGGTATGTAACTCACTGATTCTATGTTGTATTTTGGTGTTGGGTTGGTAGTTGTACGAATGATTACCCGTGATCTCTAGCCGAAACATTGCTTCCTCCATTTGTGGAAAATTTTAAGTTCACAATCATCTTTATCGCCAATACTTATTATTTCTATGGGTAACCAAATGATTAGTGCACTATCAGCCAACATTTAGGAATCACAACTGCACTTCTATTAGTTGAATCAGAACCATTAAATACTCACTCAAAGGTTAGCTTGTATTTTTACAGCTGAACACGATATAGTGGTATAATACGTATACAGTTATGTCAGATCTTAGCTATCCTTGAGGGAAAAAATATTTGTTTTTTGAAGGGCAGCTCTCTTTTATGATTTAAGCTAAATTGTTGACTAGGAGGTGGGAAGATAGGTTTAAGACAACATCAGCTGTGACATGGCACATGTACTTGGGCATCAGATGAAATCAGCTTGTTGCTGTGTAGTGTTTAACTTCATGTAAAATTCCAAATGATGTGTAATGAGTTTTTGTGTTGTCTTGTTTTCTGAATGTATATTTCAAAGTTATTTTTACTTAATATTACAGTATTACTGTATTTTCTTATTGTGTCTGAAAGAAAATGTAAGTTTAAAATTGACTCAACCTGAAATTCATGTTAAAAAAAATTCACGAAACTGTATGATAAAATGCAGGCTTAAGCTATCACATGTACAGCGAGTAGCTTGTAACTGGCTGTCACTATTCATTGCATTATTCTGAGTGTTACACACATTTGGAAAATGTTTTGAAGATAAGGAGACAATCTTTCTTCGTCTAAAATGCTAGAAATACACACACTTGGAGAAATAAGAGAGAGTAAATGGTAAAAGAACTAAACCACTCTACAACTCTTAAAGATTGGAATACAAGAACTGATTGCAATTCTCATCTTTGATTACTGCCAGTGTATTGATGTAAGCTCTGTGTGTCTTAGATAAACAACTCATTGTTTGGAAACTGAAACGTGAGGAAACCAACTATGGCGAACCTGAGAGATCTCTCACTGGTCACAATCACTTTGTATCTGATGTGGTCATGTCATCTGATGGTCAGTTTGCACTCTCTGGCTCATGGGATAAGTGCATGAGATTGTGGGATCTTAATGCGTAAGTCTTGTCTAATTTCAAACTTCATACTTAAGAAGGTGTATGCTTCAGAAACCATAGTACTATAAAGATGTATAGATTTATCTCTTATCATGTTTTGAGACTTGAGAGAGCAATCTAATCATTTGCAAATTTTCTTCAAATATTCCAAAAAACTAACTATGGTTGGTGCCATTTTGGGAAACAAAAATTTTGGTGATCAAGCTGCACAGCTATCAAATGGCATAAACCAAACTTACTGCTCACCAATATATGTTTTGGTGGTTACCACAGAAAGTCATTACTTGAGTAAATAATTGCCACTTTGTGTATTTATTTATGATTTAAACAGATGGGAGAGAGATGGAAATGACAGGAGTGAGAGTTGTAAAGCAACAGTCCCAATGGTGGTGTCCATAGTTAAATTTTTAGCCCAATTGAAGACAACTTTTGAAACCTTAGATGACATTTAATCTCGAAATGCAGTCAGTGTCATAATTTCATGTGAAATTTTCACTGCCAGATATAGAAAAATTTTTGGTTTGGGGTTCTTAGTTTATTATTATTTATTTTTTTTTTTTTTTTTTTTGAATGTATTTAAATATTTTTTTGTCAACTTTGTTGTTCATTAGTGGCACCACCACTCGCCAGTTTGTTGGCCACACCAAAGACATTTTGAGTGTTGCATTCTCTGCTGACAATCGCCAGATTGTGTCAGGATCCCGTGATTGCAATATTAAGTTATGGAATACCCTGGGTCAATGCAAGTATACTATTCAGGTGTGTGCAAGTTATCATGACTTGGTGTAATTCCATCATTTGTTCTACTATGGTTTCTCTTTTGTCAAGCTAAGTGCTAAGTACATAATGATGAAATTGAAAAATGTGAGCATCAACTTTAAACAAAGAGTTGAAATTAAACAACAACAGACGCCAACTCAAAGTTGACTATTTACAAGAAAATTCATATTTGTCTTGGTTTTTTATAATTATTTGTTCTTTATAACAGGATGAGGGACACACTGAATGGGTATCTTGTGTTAGGTTCTCGCCAAACTCAACAAATCCCATCATCGTTTCTGCTGGCTGGGACAAAGTTGTGAAGGTATTTCTCAAATATGCTTTCTTCAAAACCCAAATACTTTACTTAGAGTTCTGTCATCTTTTCACTCTCAAGTCAAAATATTACTTATCTACAATTTTTTTGATACATTTTTTTTCCTTTCTTCCCATCACTTTCCCCTGAAACTGTGTCATTATAGTACATGTACGAAGTACTTCCTCTGTGGTCATTCCTGGGATTGTAAGGGGTATCTCAAATATTTGTTAGTTCCTAAATATATCTAGCTCACAACCATAGCAGTATATTTCTGTAAAACATGATTTATAATTATAGAACTAGTCTGATTTTTGTTTATCTTTTTGTGATCCTTTCCTCTGAGAGTGGCAATTAAACTTCTGGTTAGATCAGCGCCTGAGTGCTATTTTGAGAAAAACCAAATTCTTCCCATCAAGTTACAATGAAATGTGAAGCAGTAAGCAAGGGAGGATCACAAATAAAACTTTTTGATTGGGGTAAAGGCTGAAAGACTGACTAAACATTTCTGGAACAAAGGAAATACAACCAGTTTGATAAGATAATTTGAATCTGGGAAATTCAATTTGGTTGAAACTAATAATGCAAAACCCTCAGTATCTCAATTAGAATTTCCTCAGGACCTTTAGGTCAGGGGTATTTCATTGTATGCTATATTCTCAGCAGGAAGGGATTCAAGAGTGTCGTGTGAATTAATGAACTGCTTTTATTAATTCCTTCAAGGTTTGGAACCTGACCAATTGCCGTCTCAAGACAAACCATATCGGACACACTGGATATCTTAACTGTGTCACTGTATCACCTGATGGCTCTCTGTGTGCATCTGGTGGTAAGGATGGTATGGCCATGCTGTGGGACTTGAACGAGGGAAAACACCTGTACACACTTGATGGAGGTGACATTCTGAATTCACTGTGTTTCAGCCCCAACAGATACTGGCTCTGTGCTGCCGCAGGACCCAGCATTAAGATTTGGGTGAGTAGCATATTGCTTACAATAGGCAAAAAGTAGTTAAAGGGAGATTTTCAGAGTTGCTTGGAGCTACAGAAGTTGGGATAAAGTTTTAGTAGTATGAAAAACCCTGAACTTTCCTTATGGGTATTGAAGAAGAATTTGTTCTAATTATTTCTTTAAGGATTTGGAAGGCAAGTCCATTGTGGATGAGCTGAGACCAGATGTGATCAGCATGGGAGGCAAAGCCCCACCTGCCAACTGTATCTCCTTGGCATGGTCAGCTGATGGCCAGACTCTGTTTGCAGGTTACACTGACAACTTGATCCGTGTGTGGCAAGTCACTCGCGTTTAAGACAATTAGCCATGCTTTGTGACTGAGGAATTTTACATTGTAAAAATAAAGATACAATTACACAGTAAACAGATTCTGCTTCCTTTTGACAAGTCTTTTAGCTGTAAAGTTCCCAAAAGGTATGTTAATTATGGTATGAGAGGTAATATCTTTCCTTGTTGGAGTGTGTTCTGGCCAATGGACTTCTTTGAAATAAGAAGTGTTGGGAAGATTTTTGACGCCATCAGTGAATTTTATAATTGTCCGCACAACAAAAGACGTTCAAACAGCACAATATTTCATGAATGTTTTCATGTGTACAAAGGTTCTACGTGGTATTCATGACTAGACTTTGACTAGATGTAGAGACCTTGAAAAGACTTCGGATCAGCTGCTATCTCATTTTGTTTTAACGCAAGGGCCGAAATGGAATTAGAAATGTTCCCTTATTTATGTACAGCGGTTTCCGCCCATAAGACCTCTTACTGTTCTCTTTTTAGCTTGCAAGCATGCTTTCTAGTTCGGGTTTCACCTCGGGTCTCGACAATTACACCATCAGTGGTCACACTTGCGGAGAAAGTTACTGAAAACCCCGCATGTAAATTGAGTGTACTTTCTTGGGAAAAGTCGAACTCTCAGATTATTTAGTTGATGCATTGTTGACGTGAAACAAATCTATTCAAAGATTTTGTGCAAAGTCGTCATCAAACGCCTTGTGGGAGTTACAGTGGAAAGCCTGCACAATTGGTCTTCATAGGGAAAGAACTGTAGAGGTCTCAGGAAGTTGTCAACCAGTTGCCCCTTTCTTTCATTCATACTATGCTGGCCAGGTAGGCTTCAACCAAAGAATTCCTGATAAGCACCCAAACCGATCCAGTTCCTCCTAGTGTTCTCACAAATTCTAGCGAATGGAAGGGGGCGTTCCTATGTCTGGAGAAATGTACTACACCAGGCTCCTGACCAAACAAGGTAGTAGGTAGGATAAAGTCTGGTACTAGTTATGCATTGACTGGAACTTAGAACGAAGCACCAGGTTTCTCTCGGATCAGGAACCATATGAGAACTAGAGGTTTTCTGTTCAGAAACAAGGTCGAACTCAAAGCGTGAAGATATTTTTTATCTTTAATCGGCTCTTGAGCGTTTTGAAGTCAGTTAACCCGGAAGGTTGTGTATATTAAGTGACGGATTGTTAGGGAAGGATTGTAAACTCACTGCACAAGAACAAATCACTTAAAGATATTGCTGATGCCATCACCGAGTGCATTGAATCTAAGGAACAGTTTAAATCAACGGTACAAGGTGTCCTCCGAACACTACGTTTAGTTCTCATGACAACCGTCGAGATGGAAAATCACCAGAACATAAACTCGTTTTTTTTTATCGGGTTTTATTATTCAATCCAGTCCTTGGTTCGAAAACTAAACCATCGAGGAAACACAATCATATCCCAATCATTTTTTTTTTAATTACCGAATTCAGCTATCAGAATTTACTATTTTCTTTTCCAGTCAAAGATTTTACCCTTTTCCCTATTCAAAACATTAATTCGAGATGGATGAATTGAAATCGACTTATTCCCACCTATAAGAAATATGTTCCTTTACCTCCGATCTTACAAGAACTATCTTTCTTGCAAACTTCAAAAACCCGACGAGGCGAGGTTATCTATGTCTCTATGTCCACCCTCCCTTCTCCCCTACCTTCCTATGACACCCCCCCACGGACAGTTACAGTTACACGGTAGGATCTGGGTACGAGATTACTCGCAACCTTATGACTTCATCATCCCTTTATTGAACATGTAGACGCACTCCATTTATTCGTGGTCGGCCTTGTGTAACAGAGAGCGGTTTTGCTCGCTATGTGAGAGCAATGTTTTCTCAGAATTGGTTCCACAGCAAGACCTGCTAAACTTGCGAATAAGACCCCCGCAGATTCCCCAATCGTTACCAGTCCTAAGCAGAATTCCCTATACTTCGGTTCCACAATCAGGGGCACTGCACAGACTGTGTTCGCAAAAACGAAGCCTGACAACGAGCCAATAATAAAGCAGATCAACAAAACCGACCATACCGAGTCAAAGATTCGGTAGTACGAAGCGCATACTGAAAGGCTCATAAAAGCCAGTAAAAGAAGTGAGAAAATCCATGTGTGCTTTACAACGAAGCGAGGAATTAAAACTGGCTTGAACCACGCTATTGCGCTTAAATAGGAACGAAATAAAAACTCGCCAATACCGTTTACGAGAACATAGTAAACAAAGTGGTCTCTTGGCGCAAAAGGAGCGTCTTCGAAGGCGATCGTTGTAAAGACTGCGTGAATAGTTATGTACTGTGCAATGTAGGCAGAGCACAGAGCAATCATCAGGGGCAAGATCTGACATGCACCAGTACACTTCTCACCCCAAGACAAATGGCCAAAATGCTCCTTGGTAAGATAGTCATCTGAGCACTCGGAGTCAGCGGTCTTGAGTTTGTTGTATTTTTCCAGTAAGGCATAGGGCTTAATGCGGTCCTTGTCAAGTATGTAGTAAAATAGCAGGATCAAAAGTGTGGCTGGTGCAATAATTGTCAGGGATATCTGTGGTGACACACAAAACCATGACGTCATTCCTGGCAAAAGAAAGTTCAAAGAAAGTTCGTTAAAAAGCCAAGAACGCTACTAAAGAATTGATCGATGCGAAATAATATTTTGAAGACATTTATTTTACTGCCGTCGAGTATAGACTTACATTAACCATTTTAGTATGCCAATGAAGATTTTGACTGTTACGACCTCCAAAAGGCAGTGCCGACCTATCCAAAAAAACCTTCTTTGCCTTCCTTTGGCTTCTCTAACAAGGAAGAATTCTCAGTGTTCTGCTGGCTTTTTTCCTCACGCCTCTGAGTTTATTTTAGGCCTAAGCCGTTAAACATGGAACAGTCTACTCCGTTGGAAGCTAAGCAGCAGAAAAATGCCCCTGAGACTACATTTGATAGGTACACCTGTTCAATCGTTTTTTTTCCTCCTCATCTCTCTCGAACTGTCACGGTGTTTTGGTTGTGAGTGAGTCACCATTTTAGACCTGCTAGAGGCTACAGGATAAAATCTGATAAATAACGACTGGCAGATGCATCCGATAGCAGATATGAGTTTGAAAGCTGTACCGTCGCTAACAGAGAGGTAAGACAGAAGCTTTTCCAGATCCTGACTATTCTGTTACGCAATCTAGTTAACTTTTGGCACAAAAGAGGGTGAGGAAGTCTTTCGATTTATTTTCCGGACATCAATATACATCGGTGTCCGTAAAAAAGGTAAAAAAATTCTAGAGGAATGGATCATATAGTCTGACCTTTACAGCGATCTATATTTGTACCATATGCATAGCAGCGATAACTTAATTAGATAATTTTTACCGTCTTTCCTCTGTTAGTTGTAATAAAGAGGCGACAGGATTGTTGAAAAAGCAATTCAGTCGAAGGAAGAATTTGATGTAAATTTTCAATGTGAAAAACAATAAAATAACAAAAGGGGCGATAATGTTAATCTGAGCAAGATTTTCCGCACAGCCGCCTACTTCATAATGAATATAGTTCTTAGATAGAAAACACTGCACATGGCGAAAGCGATAGACTACTTTTGTGACTAGGGCTTTGTTGAAGAATGTTATTTTGATGTACGAAAACATTTCCCTAATCTGCTACCGACGGTATCACAAGAAAATGGTGTAACTTGGCTAATTTATTCGTTTGGGTGATCTGTGCTTTGTTAATTCTACATTCTAACAACACTAACAAACGCTTATACAGAACTCCAAGCAATCTAACTTAAAATTCCCCGTTGATAGAACCCCTAATTTTCTGACTTACCTGTGTAATAAATTGGCCCCAAAAGTATTCCTGCCCCACTTCCTGCGGCGAAAGAAGTAAGAGAGAACTTTCCGTAAAAAGCACTTAGGGCTAAGAATGAAATCTCTCCCAAGCCATGGGCAAGTGCGTTCAAAGATACTCCGATAATTTTGACGTAAACGTTGTCGACCAAGATGATAAGAACTGTCCCGCTTGCCATAGCCGCGAATATAATGAGTGTCCGCCATAAGTAAGGGATTTTCTGCATGTACCAGGGAAGAATTGAAGTGATGATCACCATCGTTGTTACATGCGAAGCGAGGATTGTGGTGGTAGGAATAAAAGTTCCTCCCAAGATGTCTTGAGAACCGGATATCACAACACTAAAGAACGAATGAAGGAGCATCGCCAGGCCGCTGAAACTGACGCAGATTGTAATGTGGTCGAGCCGTGTGAATCCCTCTTCGTCCACATCATCTTTGTGCGGTTCGTCGTCATCGGAGGCTTCGTCGCCGCTTGTATATTCAGCCTCCACAGGAGTTTTATCCATTTAGAAATTACAGAACGGCTCGGTGATCAGTCGATGCTCAGTTACTCACAGCCAAAAGCCAGTTGAGAAGCGCCAGTGTTGATTTTCACCAGTGCTAAAGATACAAAGGGTTCAAATGGTAGTCTTTTTTACACCATGACTCCCATACATGCGACAGTATTTTCATTCGCGTAAAAAAGTCAAGATTTGAGCGCGTTGGTAATATAATTTATGCAAAATGACGAGATGATGCTTTTGTCTTTTCCGTTTGAGTGACGCTGTTCAATTGAATTGTTATTGATTGTAGCGCTAATGACGAATAATTTAAAAATTAAGAGCATATCTTTTCTAGTTTTCACTTATTTCAAAATTCAATTTTCGAATCGTCATAACGAAGAAAAAAGATCGAATATGCATCAAATTCTTTAGATTTCCAGAAACGTTTTGTTAAAAGTGGCTCTGAATTTATGTGCCACTAAGGTATTAAGAATTTTCCTTCCCACAAGTTGCTGTGGTAACACAGAAGAGGCATATATTGATTCAGATTTAATAACGCTCTACAAATGTTCAAACAAGAAACCTGAGTAGAAATTGTTCAATACATATTACTGCCTTTATGACTAAATCAGACTAGTGATGAATTTTGTCAAAAAAAATTAAAGGACTTTTAATTCTAGACCAATTACCTTTTCAAGCGTACTGGAGTTTTCAGTTGTGGTAATTTTTGAAATCAGTTTAATCTTCATTTTGCTGGTGTTGGCCCGCCTTTCTCATGGAAACCCTTGTACCCTCAAAGAATGTCAACAGTCGCTTTTTTTATCTGTTTATTCCAAACGACAAGAAAGGAGCGAATGTCACTAACTCCCGTCGTCTTTTTTTCTAATGGATCATACATTTGTCATACAAAACGAGTTTGTTGATACTGAGCCAAAGTGTGATCATTGTAATCAAAACAAGGATAACCATTTACAACCTTAATGACCACAACAAACCTGTAGGAAATTTTTGAAACCCTGTCTCGCTCTTTAGTTAAGATATGTTAATAGCTTGGCTGAGCGCGTTTTAAAGCTGATTCAAAACCTGGGCTGAGCTCCTTGATCGCGATTAGAAGGATCAGGTCAACACTTGCTAAAAATCCCATGGCAATAGCTAGATTGCCAACATAGCTGGGCCAGGATTGGTCAATGGGCACAAGCGTTAATTTAGTTTCAAACAGCCTGGAATTGGGGTCTGGTTTTTAAAAGTTGCAGTAAATTTAAATTCGGGCCTGAGGCATATTTCTAGAAGGTCCCGGTAACTTAACTGGACCCATAAAACTGTTCTAACCTTTTGCTCCAGATAGCGATTTCAAAGGTTTTGAAAACGATACAGAAAGCCATCTGCTATTAAAACAAAATGAACCGGTTAGGGTGCCAGAAACTGCTCCCTACTGTTTAAATTTTGATTTTAAAATATGGTTTGGGGCCCGTTAAGTTACCGGGACTTCTGAGGAACGGGCTCCGGATGTTATATTCTGCAAACCAAATCTTAAGAATAGTAGTCTTTTCTGTTTCGTTTCCTGGAAATTTCGTCAACTGAATTTCAAAACTTTACGTGTATCGATCTACAAAGTAAAAGCGGCAAACAAATCACAATTTTTCGTAACCAGTCGCCACTGGAAATTTTGAGAAATGGTACCTCGATTTCAAGTTAGATTTCAAGTTACTCGATTTTCCGAATTGACCGACCTTTCCATCCCAACATTTACATATCCACGCGACTCTCCCCATGGAAGAAAAAAAAAAAGATAGAAAAACAAACGAAATGACCATACAAGGACCTGTTCTTCTGACATACAGTTTGTAAATCGGAAACTAAAACTTGGATCAAAGCTACTGACGTATGGTCCTACTGACTCGTGAATTTTCTGAAAGCACTTACCTTAACTCGATCGAGAGCCATTTAAAAAAGAAAAAAATCTGTAAGGAACAAATTCAGCGGGCAACCATCCTGTAGATACTTCCAAACCGAAAGGATGAAGCAATTGTGGTTCTCGCGCCTTGGTCCTCAGCTAAAGAATCGTGTGGCACAAAGTTGCAAAACACAATATCTTACCGAGTACCTTCAGGGGATAAAGACAAGATACGGCAACCTAAGATTTAGATGTCGAGAAATAATTGAAAATTGGAATCCAAGATTATCTCAGTGCAATAACAAGTAGATACAAATCACATAACGTTACGTGTTTTTTCCCTTTTTTAAAAAAATTCCCAATTTCCTACCCGTTTCAGGAATCTTCTTTGGTCTTCACGTGGAGTTTTCGTCCGGCAGAGCCGGTAATTAGTAAGATTCAGTCAACTTGATCAAAGTAATAGAGCTTGATATCACATATTAGCTCCCTGCCATAAACTGACCGCTGGATGATAACACTGGTATCTCAGTAATAACTGTTTGTGCAGGTAACGAAATTGTATCTCGTCACGCCTCGGCAAGCAAGTTTAGTAAGAGGATCCATTTCTCTCGCTTCTTAAATTGATATAAGATTTCGATGGTAATCTTGGAAAATTCTCTCAGAGTCATGACGTTGTAAATACCAAATAAAATAACCTCTGCTCACGCAAAAAGGAAATTCTTAACCGGGCATACTTATCAGCCAACAATCCGCGATTAGTTTATTAACGTTTTATAAGTTTTGATGCATCTAATGTTTCATTTGATAAAACTGGATAAAAACTACAACTCATTCTAGATATTCATGTGCTGATTAAAGTTACAGCCGTCCGTTTTTCATCGACGCAATTAAATGGGAAGGAAGAAAAAAGCATAAAGCGGAAATAAAGTTTAGATGATCACAGCCAGGATTTACGGAGGAAACTCATACCTTGATATAATTTCACTCGCCAAATGAGTACGCCATCACTAAACGAAGATCAGGAAACATGTAAATAAATCTGAGTGTATGTAATCTGAATTGGTTTTGAAAACTGACAGGCAAATAAAGAGTTAAGAGCATGGCACTTGAGTTAACATTCATCGGTCGATGTTGTTGACTGGTAAATCCCAACGACAATTTTAAACATTTCTCCGAACTACACGAGAAGGTCTCGGAAACTTCGGTTTTTTTCGGAACATGTATCCAACAAGCTGAAGTTTTGCTCGTGTTTAATATAACTGACTCAATATTTATGTAGATATATTCGGAAAAAAATTATTATAGCTGATTTTTCATCTCAGAACATGAGATGTTTTGATTAAACGGCATGTATTTGCAAATAACTATTAGCGCCAAAAAGCTTGTCAAAACGTCGAGCTATCTATACTGATAGTCCTCTCAGATCTTTAACATTGACATCCGAACTTTTCTTACAGTCTTCGTCTATATTCAAGAACAGTCGAACGTAAATTAAGCGGGCTCAAACGATGACTGCTTACTACAGGTTCCACGCAATGGGGGTCTTGTAAAAAACGCGATTTTTTTGCCATAAGTGACCAGTTAATGAACAAAACCTCGCTCAAAAATACTACTGACGTTGATTTCGGGAGAGAAACATGGTTTAAATTTCACTTGAAAGACTTATTTTTAGTTTTGTGTGAGTGGTTCCGCTTAGGTGACCGTTCAATACAGGTGGAAGACAGTACAAACAGGCCGTTGGGACTCAGTAAAGGCCAACCCCCCTGCTTCATAGAGGTGACTACTTAGAAGAGATGGAAATTACAGTGATTAAGGAAAAAATTTTCCAGACTTTTACAACCCACCGCTTAATACGGTGCCGCTCAATCAGAACAGCTTCGACTGTAAAACCAAAGTAAGTCACGAGTCAACAGGGAAAGGCTCAGCTTACTAAATCTACCACTCAATTACATTGCAACCTCAGCTCAGTTTAGACAGCCCGAACCTTTTATAACCCCAAGCTAATAACTTGACTGATAACATGTATTCTTCATCAGCTTCGATCATGAAGAACAATATACCAGTATGGCTCGTACACCTGCATTGTCTTCAATCAAAACTAATCTCATAGTGGTAAACGAGGTAATGAAATAATCAAATCAGTGAAAGTAAAGGTTGTGATCGTTTCCCACCGAGAGCAATCAAAGAATCCGCGGGCGCTGAGTTCCTATGTCACCCCTTAAGCAAACAATTCAGTTGTTATCCTAGATTGCTCAAGAATACCTCAGAAATGGAAACAAGGGAAATTTCTCCTGTTTTCAAGAGAGACCGTCGCCTCATCAAAACAAAGTACAGACCCTTAACAATCTTGCCGTCCCTTTCTAAAGTGTTTGAAACTTAAGTCCACTCGAGAATCAGGGCTAACTTTGGAGACATTTTTCAAGAATACATGATCGCACATCGGAAATCTCATGGATCTGACACTGCCCACCTCAGCCTCACGGAGCAGTGGAAAAAAGAGTCGGAGAATCACAGTGTTATCAGCCTCGTATCAATGGTCCTATCTAAGGCGTTTGATACTCTACCACATGACTTAAAAGTGGAAAAGTTTAGGGCTTAACGGCGCCGACGACAACACCTTCGAACTCATAAAGGATTACCTTACAAAGGATTACCAGGAAGAAGCAATCTGTAGCGTGAATGCTGTGCAGGACTAAGCTGATAAAACGCCATAAAATAAAGCCGAAATATGTTAACGTAACGCCAACCTTGAAAAAATCTTGACTGCAGCGAAATCGTAAGGTCGCTTCCTCTCTCCTGTTATTCTCATCTATCTGAATATAACCTGTGTCATCCTTCATACTGATCAAAACGAAAGGGCTCAGCAACTCGACTTTTTTCACCATTCAATATTATCGTCAAGTGTTTCTATAGGAAAAATGGAAACGTATGAAAAATGGAATTTCAACTATCGGCATTTAAGGAATACCAGAGTGGAAGAGCACGTCGAATATTGAAAGTGCAGTAACTTGAAGATAAAGATAGTTTCACTATGCGCCTGCCGTTTTTCACTCCCCAAAAACTGAAACTCAGGCCTGACGTTTAAACGTAGATCAACACTTTTAAAATAGTAGACGGCGAGTGAAAATAA